AATTGTGGAACCAACCTAGATGCCCTTCAGTAGATGAATGAATAAATAAAATGTATGTGTGTGTGTATATATATACACACACACAATGGAATATTATTCAGCATTAAAAGAGAATGAAATCATAGCATTTACAGGTAAATGGATGGAGTTGGAGAATATTATGCTGAGTGAAGTAAGCCAATCCCAAAAACCAATGGCTGAATGTTTTCTCTGATATGTGGATGCTGGTTCATAATGGGGATGGGGGGTGGAGCATGGGAGGAATGGAGGAACTTTAGATAGAGCAAAGGGGAGGGAGAGGACATGGGGGTAGTGGAATGAGATGGACATCATTACCCTAAATACATGTATGAAGGCATGAATGGTGTGACTCTAGTTTGTGTACAATCAGAGACATGAAAATTTTTGGTCTATATGTGTAATATTAATTGAAATGCATTCTGTTGTTGTGTATAACAAATTAGAATAAATAAATTTTTTAAAAAGAAAAGGGGTAAGAAGGATAGGATAATATAAAGAATTAATCAAATATAAATTAATAGGAAAGCTAAAGGAAGTCCAGTAGTGTGGAGAAAGGAGAATGAGAGAGGGGAGGAAGGATGAAATGCAAAAAGCAGAGGGAAAAGGGGGATCATAAACTGCAGCTGATTTACGTGCATATGTAAGCTTGTTGGGGTGAACCCAACTGCTGTGTATAAACTGTAAAGCTCTAATAAAAAAGAGAAAGTGTAATAATTTCTATTTATTTTACATTAATATGGAAAAAATTTGACTGAAACAAAAATTAATTCTGTTGGAACAATTTATATTTCCATTCTGGCCTTATTAAAATGTTTAATAGGTAATTTCAGAACTGTGGGTATGGCCATTATCAAGTTTGAAAGAAATAAAATGATTGTTTGAAAGAATAAAGAATTGAAGTGCTAACAACACATAACTCTTGTTTTTAAATTTATTTACTCATAAACTTACTGAAAAGTTGGGCTTAAGATGTTTTTCCTGGAACCATTGAGAGTTACTTGCCCACCTGATATCTCATTAAAACCTTCCTGTGTATTCCATACAACCAAGGAAATATTTTATGTAAATGAAGCCCAATCATCAAAGTAAAGAAACTAATATTAATGCCTTTTTAACATCTAACCCTCAGTGGGTCAGTCAGCTTTCCATTTCCATAACTAAAACCTGAGATAATCAACTTAAGAGAAGAAAAGCTTTATTGTGGCTCACAGTCTAAAGAGGTTTGGTTGGTTGGGCGGTGGCAAGAAAGCATATCATGGTGGGGACCATGAGGCAGAGGTAGTTGCTCACCTCATAGTGGCTGGGAGACACAGGAAAAAAGTAGGAGACTAGAGACCTGTGTTCCACTGTCATCTTTGAGGCCATGCCTCCAGTGACCTAAGACCATTCAGTAGGACCCAGCTTTTAAACTTTCTACCACTTCCCACTAACACCAAACTGAGGACCAAACCCCTAACACACTGACCATTAGGGGACCATTAGGGAAAAACTTTCAAGTTTTTCCAGTTGTCCCTATAGCATCCTTTATAGGACTCAGATAGACTCCATTCAGAACTGCATTACATTTCTTATGACCTATCTTTATTCTCCTTCACTCTAGAGCAGGCCTTCCATCTTTCCTTGACTTCTATGACCTTGACAGTTTTGAAGATTATTTTGTGACATGTCCATCAACTTGATGTTTTCTCATTATTAGATTCATGTTATGCAGCTTTTTGTCAAGAAAATAAAAAGGATGCTGTCCTTTTGTCATTTCATCCTGTTAAATGGAACAAAAATTTTATTTATGCCATTGTGATGATGTTCAAATTAATCAGTTGATTAATGTGATGTCTGTCAGGCTATTTTATTATAAATTACTCACTTTTCTTTCCTAATTAATTAGTATTTTGTGGGAAAGTACTTGGAAATTATGTAAATATTCTTTTCCTCATTAAAATTTCAATTTGTTCAACATTTAGATACATAAGTATAGACTTGTGATTTTCTATTTTATTTCTTTACTGGCTTTATTATTATGAAGATCTAATTTTCCAAGAGTTGAACAAAGGGCACCCATTCAAGCTGGGTTTTGTGTCCTTTTGGTATGTTCTCATTCTTTGAGCACTTCCTTGACTTTTGGCATTAAAAGATGTCACATTTCTCTGTTGCTTTTCTGCCTGAGCCCTGAAGGCAGCCATTTCCCAAGGAGCTCTGGTCCTCTCAGTGTTAATATCTGGGTACCAGCTGTACCTATGGTTATTAGGGTTGTGTTAGCTTAAGCTGTTATAACAAAATGCCACAGACTGGGTGTTTAAGCCACAGACTCTTACTTCGTACAGTTCTGGAGGCTAGGAAGTCTGATATTGGACTGCATGATTCTGTTCCTGGTGAGAATTCTCTTCCTAGCTTTTAGATAGCCAGTTGCCTTCCCATTGTAGGTGTACATGGAGAGAGGGTGGATATTCTCTGGTGTCTCTTCTTATAAGAGCACTATAATGGAGGCTGTTACCTCACAACCTCATCTGAACCTAATTACCTCCCAAATACTCTACCTCCAAATACCATCACCTCAGGGCTGGCCAACATACAAAGTGGGGAGGGGGCATATTTAGTCCATAGCAAAGATGTTGATGCTCACAGGCCCTCTCAGTGCAAGAGTGAGGATATATATCTATATTTAAAAAAAGATAAAGAGCAAAATATGTCTATACACATTTATAGATATTTATTGCACACTTTACAGGTATTTTTAATCTATCTATATATGCTGAAAACCAGAAGTCCATACCAATACCTCCAATTCCAATCCCAAACTACAGTTCATCCTAGTTTCTTCTTTTTGAATATTTATAACTCCCTTCTCCAACAGTGAGAAACCCAGATCCTATTGTCACAGGTATTATTTTCTTGTTTGATCTGTAGCCCTGGGGTAATGAGGCTTTCATCTCTGCCTGTCTCCTCCCCGTGTGGATATCCTTCTCAGGCTCTGATACCTCATGCTAGGCACCCCTCCCCTCAAGCTCTGGACATCCTTTCTTACTGCACTAGAACTTGACCTCCCTGTACTAGGTACTTCACCATGACCACCCACATTAGATACCTTCCCCCTCTCTTTGAACTCTGTCCATGCAAGGCTTCCCCCTGCATAGAATTCCTCCTCGCTCTGTTTGTCTCTGACTCATCATATCATAACTCCATCACTCCACCTATGGTCACTCTCCTCACCTTACTTGGGCTCTGACAATACTTCTTTGCGTGCAAGAGGCAATTATATTTACATGTAAGTCCCCCTGAAGGCTTTGCTTTGGACACATTGATCCTACTAAAATGTGGGTGGGAAAAAAAAAAAACCACTTATTGGTGCAAAGAGTGACTTGACAAGAAAAGAAAAGGGCACGTTTACATCTCATCTCATTTTGCTTTTTCCTCAGAATAAATTGCTTTGCAGCTTGGCCCCAGAAATCTAAATTATAGATGACCTTGAACATCAGACTAAGGCATTTGCTCTTTATTTGAAGTAAAAAATGGATACAATATGAATGAGTTTGAACAGGGAAAAGAAGCATAGTATTGTGAAGAAAACTTTAGTTTCTAATGACCAAATTGAAAAACATCATGAATAGGTTGTACATTATATTAACCATTTTTTAGGATGGAGAGTAGAAAGTTAACAAATTTAATCACAGAAACTGTTTTATAGTTGGAATGCTGATAAGCTGGTTTAATAGTAAGTAATATATTTATGTTATTTGGATAAATCTGCCTTGATGTTACTCCCTGACTTGTTACTGTCTTGCCATGACCACAGAAATCAATGTTTACCTTGCTGATATTTATAACAAGTAAGGTATCATAAACTGTAATGCATATCTAGAATAACTGACTTCATCTAAGTAAGAAAAATGTATGCTTTTCAAAATTCTTTTTCACATTTAAAGGAAAGACTATTAAATACTTGGGCATTTGATGTTTTTAACAGGAGAAAGGCATGCAGATTCTATTTAGTAAGTTTTACATGTATAGGAGACCCTTCACATTCAAAATGAAGCAGAGCCCAGCCCTTATGTACTAGGTTGGACAAAGAATAGCAAATCATGAAAATATGGCAAGACAAAGGGTATGTGGAAAAGGGACGGTTAATTGTGGAAAAGTAACAGGAAGATCAAGGTTCCTCTAAGGTTTGTAGGATTTCTCTTAACCATCTCTGGTGAGTGTCTTTCTCCTGGCATAAGAAGGGAACCTTTCATGTGGAAGTTGTATCTCCTACTTTCAAGAATAAAAAGGAAGGTCAGGGGACGGGGGGTACAGCTCAGTGGTAGAGCATTTGCCTGGCGTGCCTCAGGTATTCTTGCAGTTGCTTTTTTACAAATGTCTTTAAGTAAAAAATAATCAATGTGCCAAAGCAGCATATCTTGGAGTGGCATACTTGATTCTCTACAAACTCAACATGTAGCCATAAAGACCTACCATTTTTCCTTCCAAATATACCTTCATGTTCCTTCCTGCTTCTCATCTTTCCTTTCTCCAAAACTCTCTCTCTACCTTGCTCCCCTCAGATTTCACATCACCCTTAAAGTATAGCCCAAACTCTTTAACTCCTCTTACAAAGCCCTTTCAGGTCTGGACCCCACTTTCTTATTCCACCCCATGTCACCCATCTCCCCTTTACCCTGTGCATTCTGGTTGTGTGGAACTTCTTGACCCGCTCTCTTGCTTCTGAGGCTGTGCATGTGCTGCTCTCTCTGTGTGCATTTGATTTTGGAGAAACACCTTCAGCACTACTTAATTACTATGGAAACTAAGATATAATGAAACTCTTTTATTTTCAATACACAGACTGGAGAGATCTGCCCACATGCTCTTTCAACTAGGTCAATAGTGCTTGACATCAACTGACTGCAGGCATCAGAACCCTCGTGGCCTCAGGTGTCAGCTCCCAAGTTCACTGGGCAGATCCAGAGCAGGGTAACATGAAAGAACAAGGAGAGAGAAGATAACCATGCAGACAGAAGGCAGAGATCACTGGAAGGGTGAGAAAGGTCCACAGGGGAGCATGAGAAAGGAAATGAAGGAGTAGAAATGGAGAGAAAGAGGGGGGGAAAGAAAAGCAGTTGAGAGGAAATGTGAAGATAAGGTTACTGAAAAGTGAGGTTGATTATCAGAGGAAATATGGAAATAGACAATGAATGTTTCAGAAGAAACAAAAACCTCTTACATATAACAATTTGAAGTCATGGAGATATTTTATTGCTTAAAATTTACAAGGCTGGCTTTAAAGAAAACCTCTCTGACCTCTGACCCATGGTCAGGTCTGAGGAGACTATGCTTTGGTTTGTCCACATGCTGAAGTCCACAGCCTCCCATCAATGCTAAGGGAACATCCTCTGGTGAAGCAAATCAAAAGTGAACTTTGGTACTGCATCGTAGTTTGTGGCTATCTTAACTTACATAAGAAATAGGGGGAAAAGCCTTAGATCACATTGCCTTGAGTTTATATAACATTGTTAAAGACTTCTCTGAGGTAGATAGGAGATCTGTAGGTTTTTAGCCCCCATTTTACAAAAACGTAAAATGTAAAGAAAAAAAAAAACAGGGATTAAATTGTATACAAACAAAGTCTAGAATGGGAATGTTTTGGCTTAGTTGTCATATTTTTAATCAGGTGCAACAAAACTAAGCTAATTCCACACGAGAATGATAAAAATGTTTCAGTTGGTCCACATTCAATGTGGCCAAATAAAACCACATTTCAGACTTATTCCCCTGAGTGCAAAACTAAGAACTATGCTCTGGTTTCACTTTTAGTCCGATTTCTCTTCATTTGAAGGTTTCCCTTCAGATTTGAAGGCTGCCACTGTCTTCTGATATCATTATTTTCACTCACAAGCTTTGGCTGATGGAGTATTGGTTCCACAGGCAAGTGACATGCAAGAGCTGCAGGGCAGGGCCTTCCTCTCCTGTGGCCACCACAAGGGGAATCCTAAGAGCACTTCGTGGATCTTACAATCACTTGTCTTTTTGTGACATCATAAAGTTCAGTACTAGCAAAGTGTGGGTTAAGGTACTTAGTACTGTGGGAGGGAGAAATGGGCAGGAGCAGGCCCATTTCTCTGCCCTCAGGACACTTAGTATGGCTTGTAAAAAATGTCTGCTCTTCCTTTTTCAAACTTGCTTCTCTCTGGCTTCTCTGTCCTCTAGTTGATATGATTTTTCTGGTTTCTGTTTTTTTACACTGTCATATTATGTTCTCATTATTCTTTCAATGTTGGACTAAATAAACCCTAGGGTATTGCAAATCTGTATTTCCCTCAGAAAAGAATGTGCTCTTCATTAATGCCAATGATTTAATATTCCATTGGCTTTCACAACACAATAAGCAAGACTTTCTTAGGTAAATTTGTTTTTACAAGGCGTTTAAAGTAAATTCTGTGGGTTTATTGCCCAACATGAAGTAAAACTTTCCCCAGAAATACAGCAGGGTTCACAGAATCCTCCGCATTCACAGAGCCTTGGGGCCAAACATGACAACATAGGAGGAATAGGACTCTGAATAGTGGGTGTGACCAAAATACAAATAACATTTGATTTTCCAAACTCACAAAGTATTGGAAATCAAAACTGTGATCAAATAAGATTATATGTGAGAGGCATGCTTAAGAGTCGCCATGAACTATGTGTTTTTCCGAAGCCATTGAGCTATCCTGGCATTTCGCTTTTTGTTTTTCAGATTTTCATTCTTTATTGTCTGTAATTTGGCATGAACTGTGATCCTCTGGTGCTCCTCCAACATGTTACTGAAAAACTGCTGCAGCTGGAAGGACAGAGAGACAAGCCAATCAGTGCAGTCTAACTTTTCACTTACACAATATAAAACAAAGCTCATACCAAATGGCAACATGATTCTGCAAAAGGGTAATGAGAGTAGCAGGAATGTGTATACCTAGATAATGTGTCCCTGGGGAGACTGGTGACTGAGACAAATGTGATGAAGACCATGCTTACCCAGAAAAGTTAAATGCAGATTAGAAGGTTCACGAAACAGAACTTTGTCTATTCCCAAAGCACATCCTAAGCCTCCATAAATATTTACTGAATGTTATGTAAGTTTTGTGGACAGAGATACAGTGAGAGTCTTTTGTATCTCAAAGGAAATTTTACAATTTCCAAAGTTCAAAACGGGTATATACCACAAATTTTATTTTTTATTTTTTAATATTTTAGTCAAATTAACAGTTTGCAGATGGCATGATTATATATTTATAAAATACCGAATATCCAACAAAAAATATTAGAACTAATAAAACATTCAGTGAAGTTGCAAGATATAAACCCAAAAAACAAAATTCAATAGCATTTCTAAACATGAATAGTAAATTATCTGGGGAAAAGAAAAGCAGAAAAACAACCTTATTTCTGGTAGCTACCAAATAACTAAAATAAAATTAGTCAAAGAGGTGAAAGAACCTTACAATAAAAACTAGAAAACACTGATGAAAGAAAATGAAGAGGGCACAAAGGAAATGGAAAGACTTCCAATGTTCATAGCCTGGAAGAATCAATTTGGATAAACTGTCCATACTCCTGAAAGCAATCTACAGATTCAATGTAATCCTTATGAAAATACCAATGAGATTCTTCATAGAACCAGAAAAACAATTCTAAAATTTGTATAGGATCATACATACACACACAAATACACCTGAATAGCCAAAACAATCTTGAGTTTTTTTAAAGAAAGCAAGAGGCATTGATTGTACTACCTAATTTCAAAATATATTAGCAAAGTTATAGTAACTAAAACAGTATGGTATTGACATAAAAACAGATATATCGGGACTAAGGTTGTGGTTCAGTGGTACAGCACTTGCCTAGCATGTGTGAGGCACAGAGTTTGATTCTCAGCACCACGTAAAATATATAAATAAAATAAAGATAGTGTGTTTATTTACAACTAAAAAACTATTGAAAAAGGAAAACAGACATATCAACCAGTGGAACAGAATAGAGAGGCTAGAAGTAAACCCACACACATTTATAGCCAACTGAACTTTGACAATACTGCTAAGAACATGCATTGGAGAAAGGTCAGTCATATCAGTAAATAATACTGGGAAAATGGAGAAGCACACACAGAAAAATGAAGCTAGATGATGTTTTAATCACAAAGAAATAATAATGGGGGCTGGGGCTGGGACTCAGTGGTAGAGCCACTTATCTAGCACACATGAGGTGCTGGGTTCAATCCTCAGCACCACATAAAAATAAAATAAAGGTATTGTGTTCACCTACAACTAAAAATATGTATATATTTTTTTAAAAAGAAATAATGATGGAGTAGATAAGAAGGAGGAGGAAGATAGGTATGCCCTGATTTGAACATTACATAACATACATGCATTAAAACATTAAAGAGTTACTCTATAAATATGTGTAATTTTATTTATTAGTTCAAAAAAAAATTAAGAACAATATTTTGACAGTTAACCGATCTTTTGGCTAAATTGTCTCATTGGATCAGGCCTAGAACTTAGTTACTGGATAGTATAATATTTGCCACAATATTATATGTAAGTCAGACCACAACAGAATATGATATTCTGAAAGTCTATTTCTGTGTCAGTGAGTTAGAACTCAGAACACATATCACCATAAGATGATAGTGTACCCATACCTGCTCATAAAACCCACTTAAACCTTGATGCACTTGAGATTGAGTAGTAATCAGGCTATCAAGTTTAATTACTGTGTATGGAAAAGTTCTAGTGGAAAACAGATTAAGGATCTAGGAACTAGCTTTTCATTCTTTCCTTCCCTGCCCACACCTTCCAGGAAGTGGGAGCCACATGTCCACAGCTCCACACCACAGGTGGCATGCTGATGATTGGGCTACTGCAGTGTTGAGAGAGTTGGGGACCTGCAGGACCATAGATGGATTCCATATGTGCTTAAGAGCATGTGTAAGGCCAGGCTTCTTGCAGAGTGGAGCATTAAGACCAGGCCAGAAGTGTGAGGGTGTATGGAAGCTGTGTGGGTGAGTAGGGACAAGGGACTCAGATGACTTCTTTTTCATTTTCCTTTTTAGTAATTATTTAGTTATTATCATGTGAACTGACTAATATGTTCTAGTAGGACTGTTGGACACTAATACTTTGACAAGGATATCCATCATAACTAATTTTCAGAATTGCAATAATAACTACTGCTAAATAAATTTTCGTGCATTTTCCCAAAACTATAGTAACTATAGTTTTGGAAGTTCGAGGATTGTTAAATTTATACCAACTGTATTCTTTCATTTATTAAACAGCACCATAAATTTACTGGTTTCTGTAAAGCCAAAGATGAACTAATATGCATTGGAATATACAAACAAAATCTCAGTCTTGATCCTGGAACCTTCATTCCCATCATGTCCTGGGTGTGCCTTCCTCCCTCCTATGTGGGGACTCCCTGATACATCAAGTTCTGACAGTTCAGCCTCAAGCCAGCCAAACCCCAAACAAAGATAATTCCTTCAGGAATTCCCTCATGATTACTGCATAATAGACTGTTTCTCTCTCTCTCTCTCTCTCTCTCTCTTTACTTAGGATCAAATATTAGGCCTTGAGGTCCTACACATTTTTTTTTTGTTTGTTTACTTGCTTGGGGAGAGTTGAGTTTCCTTTTTTGTTTACACAGCATCTTCATGTACATATTAATATAGTTTCAGGCCATGATGTTTAATTTAATCAGTTTTATTGGAATATAATTTGTGAACAATAAGCTGATCAGTAAGCTGTATAGTTCAATGAGTTTGAGCCATGACCTTTGAAACCACGGATTCAATCAAGAAACAGTACTCATTTTCATCACTCAAAACAATATTTTGACAGTTAACTCATCTTTTGGCTAAATTGTCTCATAGGATCCCTCTTGGGCTAGGGAAATAGCTCCATTGAGAGTGCTTACCTCTCATGCACAAGGCCCTGGGTTCAATCTCCAGCACCATGAAAAAAAAAAAAAAAAAAGAATTCCCTCTTGTGTTTTACAGTTCATCCCTCCTTCTGTTCCAGGAAGCCATTGATCTGCCTTTTTTGTCACTTTAAATTTTCCTAGAATGCAACTGGATTCTTGTATTCAACATAATCAACTTAAGATTCATCTGTATTTCTACACAAATTCATTCCTTTTGTTTTTGTACTGTTCCACTGTGTGGTGACATTACAATTCACCCATTGTAGACATTTAGATGACTTCCATTTGGGGCTAATGTGAATAAAGCTGCTATGTATAAATCTTTCTATAGACAAAGGTTTTCATTTTCTCAAGCAGAAATCTAGAATTGGAATTGTTATGTCATATGTGTCTGATTAACATTTAAAAATTGCCTGTTTTCCTAAGTGATTGTACCATGTTACATTACCACCCCCTGGCCATTCAAAGGAGTTCCAATTGTTCCATGTCTTTCCCAACTTTCAGTATTAGAAATCTAATTTTGCCTATGCAACTGGATATGTGAAGGTTATATTTCTCTCTCTCTCTCTCTCTCTCTCTCTCTCTCTCTCTCTCTGTGTGTGTGTGTGTGTGTGTGTGTGTGGTGTCCTTCTGTCCTTTTGTAGACATTTTCTTTCCCCTCTCATTTTACTTTCTGATTATAGTATTCTTTTTTTTTTTCCTTCCAGAACTATACCTCTCCCATTTCCAGTGCCTGGAGTTTGAGCTGGGCTAGCTCCAAGTTTGGATACATGAGACCAATCGTAGTATCCTAGGCTCTATCCCTCCACGGCTACACACAATGATTAGTGCTAAGACAAATCAAAGTCCTTTTTTCAGGACAGAAACCTGAAGGTGGGTAAGAAAGGATTACTTTTTCTGCAACTGAGAGTGCAAAAAGTCATGTAAGTTGGAGCTACCACATGAAGAAAGCCTGTGTAAGAAGAACCGCAGCCCAGAGAAAAGCAAATACAAGATATGGAAAGCCCTGTGTTAGGCTTCAAGAATACAAATACGGCTGATATTATCTCAGTCCTTGAGGAACTTATAATAACCTCACATGGTCATCATATTCACACACTAATTTCAGGATAATGTGGTAAGCACTATGATAAAGACACTCATAGGATGATTTGGGGGCATGGAGGAAAACAGGGTATAAATCTATTTGTTACAAAATTCCTAGAATATGTGGTTGGAGCAGGATCTTAAAGGGCAATTAGGAATTATCCAACCAAAGCAGAGATGGGGAAGATACCAGAAACAGAAGGTACAATGTTTCTGAAGTCTAGAAAACATAAAAAAAATGATAACCTAATAAAATCTGTAAGCACTATGTATACTTGAGGGAAAGTATGTGGGGTATTTGTTAGTCTCTCTTGCTTTCTCATACTCAGTGGTAATATAAGCAAAAGTGAAGCCAGAGAGTAAAGCAGAGGCCAGATGATGAAGGGCATCATGTACTAATTAAAATATTTTTAAAGTTTATTCTAAAAGCTATGAAGAACCCCAAAGAATGGATAAATGACTGGCAGCAATGTAAAGGAAGGCATGAGGGGAAGAGCAACCTGGGAGAGGGAGCCCAGGCCAGTCCACTGTAGCAGTTCAGGTGAGCAAGAATGAAATCCAACCCTCCATGGACAGACATGTCCATTACAGAAGGATAACTAAAAACCACTTCCTTTACAGTGATAATACCACCAATGGAAATATAGAGTATAATAATTTAGGTAAGCATGTTATTTTTAATTTTAGCAAATCCAAATAGTATCATAAGTGCTTTCCAAATTATCATATGTTTTTCAATGTTTAAGGTGCTTACCTCCATGATCTGTAGATCTGTACTTATGGTTCTTCCAATTACGTACATTAGAGTAACCAGTGACTGTGTTCCATACCTACAAAACAGTAAAAATGTGATTCAGGGGTCAAAATTATTTTGCAAAATTAAGCTGTGTTTTGTGCAGCAGATAAATACTAAATGTACAACCCTTATTAATTGCTATCTCCCGAATCCAGGCAAAAACAGGAATGAAGTCCAATTTCATCTTTTAATAGAAAATCTGTTGTATAGAAAGTTCTATTAGCACTAAAGACATTTATAAATACTGAGTTGTGTAACAGTTTTTGAAGTTTTATTTAAATACTAAAAGCTCTTTTAAAAGCAACAACTGTGCTTATTTTTTTAATGAGGTAGTTAGAATACATGTTCCATGTCTCAAATTAAGAAAATTTATAAGGCAGTAAATAAACATGTAAAATTATGGCCCTTAAAAAGCAATAGTTGGCATAGGGTCAGTTTCAGAACCACTGACTAAAGTACCGTGCACTGTATTAAAAATGTTGTATTAGTTATGTTTTTGGAGAGAGGATTCCTATTTTCAGGTACTCTCAGAATGTTGATGATCACTGAAAACTCAGTCCCATGGCAACCTCCAATAGGCATGGTAATTAAAAAATGCCCTTCAGTCAGTGTCCTTGAATATCTAACAAGAATAATCTGAAAAAAAAGCTGTTGCTATGGAAAAAGAGCAGATACATACCTGTCCAAAGTGTTGCTGTAGCTAAAAATGTAAATTAAGGACTTTTGATGCATTAAAAGAAAGAGAGAAAAATTAAATTAAAATAAGATTATTATAATGGACTGAAAAATAAATGGTTTCATTGCCTTGATAATTAATACATGCAATTGATTTAGTTCAAAATGCCTACTTGAAATTAAAAATTGTAAGAGTTCATTTGCATATGTTCAAATAAAAGAGAAAATTGAGCTTTCAGTTTTTAGGGTCCCAAGTGTGTCAAGCTATGGCTACTGGAGCAAAGAGAGGACAAAGCAAACAAACCTGTGTCTATGGGGAAAGGGTAAATATCTCTTTGTGCTCCATTTTAAAGAGACGAGTAGAAAAAAAAAAAACCCAAAGCATAAGAAATTTGAGTTTCAAAAAAATCAAGCTTCAATCTTAAAGACAAACATAAAACAGAAGAAAACTGTCTACTATATCAAATGTGTGATTTTCTGCCAAATACAGGAGAAAGGTGACCCCAAGCGATGGAGCTGGGTTTGAAATCATCTTTATCAAATTTTAGAGTGTAAAAAATGGAACATAGAGTTAGATGTAGGCTTTAGCAGATTGAATGAGATAGTGTGTGTGCAAGGCCTACCAGGGTCCCAAACAACTCCACTCCTTCCCAATCTCCTCAATCTCAGGAGTTGTTTTTGAGAAAGACATGATTTACCTCTCTTGAAAATGCATTCTCTTTCATTATTACTAATCAAAAATATATGCATTACCAATAGTTTATACTTCAGAATTCCGATTTATTATAATTAACATGAAGAGCCAATGTATGTCAATAGTTAACCTTTTATCCTTCATAAAAAGAAAATGGTAACTAATATTCAATTTTAGTGTGGGTACAGTGATTTGGCACTCTAGTATGGTTGACTTTCAGCCTCTCCCATTTCTCATAGTTCTCCCCACTGTCCCTAGCCAGGTCTGATTGCTTGCAGAGAGCATGGCCACCAGGTCATCAGGGAAGCATTGAGGTCTAATCCAGGGCCTGGCCACTGCACTCTGATAACATCTCAGTTTGTTTTTGCTCCTCTGCAACCTTTTCAACCCTGTTTCCATCATGAAATACAACAGAGCAGAAGAGAAAATGAACCCCTGCTTTCAAGCTTAGGACTTAAGCAATATAACAGCAGTAGGAGAAATCATGTGTTTAGGGAAGATGAAGAAAGGATGCATTTTGGACCAGTTAGGTGTGAAATTGATTGAATTCTGTATTCAAATAAAACTAGAGTTTTCCTATCAGCCGTGAAGCCCACTTAACAAGAATGGCAAGGGCATGAATACCACTTTTATCACATACAATAAAAGAGTCACAAAAATATTATTGTTTTACTCTTGCTCAAGTTCTTTCATAGGATCCATCCATAGCTGTTACCTATTGACTTTCTATAACCTAAAAGGTATCTTTTATAAGACAAGGAGTCTCCCTTGGAGTCGGCATTCAAAAATTCATCTTTGATCCAACAATTAACTAAATCCCCCCAGCTGCAAGTGTAATGCCCTGTACATGGGAGTGGGAGCAGTTGACCACTCCAGGCCCACAAGAATCAAGTTATCTTACTGAATCAAATGTTGAACATATTTATCTGGATTAGATTTCCTAGGAAGAATGCTAGACCTGGCTGAGGGGAGGAGAAAGTCTGTGGACTGCTGTTGCCAGGGTGTTCAACATTTATGATTTTACTCTAGGAGACAACGTCCACAAGACTGCCTGCACGTCATGGTGAAACATGCCCATGACTGCTTGAGACAGGGGAAGGATGTACTTAAAACCAGTGTTGACCACTGCATGCCCACCAGGACCAAAGCTAGACATCCTGAGATGATGTTTGTTTTTGCATTAGATGTGCCGACCAGTCCCCCACCCCATGCCCATCATGTCTGCATCCCTAAGCACAGGATCCCAGAAGGATATCACCATATGAGAGTGGTGAAAAGCCCTCTGGTCATACTAATCCTAATTCCAGATCCTACAGCCAGGACCAAACCCATCACCCATTAAAAACTTTTGAGTCTGGGTTAATTAATTGCCTGTAAAATTAATTGAGAATTGTTTTATGGGTGGTTGTGAAAACTTCAATTATTACAAGTATAAACATTTCTTTCATCCTAATCATGGCATTCCAACAGGGCTAAAGGATGTTATCAATGTCATAAAGTAGAAAATGACAGTATTGAGAAAGAGAAACTGATTGACATAAGGACTCATAATAAAACAGATATACAATCCAGTAAGATAATATTAATAATAATGAACTTTAAGCACTTATTGTGTGCTGAGTACTTTAAGTAGCATTTCATAAACTATCTTAAACATGATTATGGTTATCATCCCCATGTTAGGAATAAAAAAACTGAAGCTTAGATTTTAAAAAATTGTTTAAGGTCACACATTAGCATTCTTCTCAACCTATGATTGACCTGATTCTACATTTTGTGTTCTTAACTCTATGACATATTATGTCTTTAATGGAATAGCGGGTAGACTGAAAAAACTAAAATCACAGTAAATAAAAGGACAAGAAAAACAATGAAGAGACACTTTCTATAATTCTTAGAGGAATAAACCACCACTTTGCTATAGAGTTCTTTGTAGATCTTCCCACTACCCCCGCCCCCCACATTCTGCAATTGCCCTAATAGCCTTAACACACTATCGGCATTAAGCACAACCAGTATGTGCCTCACAGACACAAGTTAGAAATAAGAAATCACCAGTGAGGAACACACAAAATCAAACTCCGTGGCAGGTATTCAAATCCTGTTATAACATGTCCAACCTCTTACCCCCAAACTTATCTCCTCAACCCTATCTTCCCTTTTCCAGTGCTCTAAGCTCCAGCAGATCAGTTTTTGTGACCAGACCCAAATAAGCCTCCCAGTCCTGCATCCAGACATTTCCTGGTGTCAGGTTCTCATATAGAAGGAGTGTTTTTCCCAAATCACCTGTTCCAATCACAATCTACTCCCCACTTCCTCTTGAATCCCCAAAGCCCTTGATATCTCTCTTTCACAGCATTCATCAGACCTATGTACTTATCACTTTACCTCCCCATAAGAGCTTGAACTGTATCTTGACATAAGAAATTAAAAAAAAAACAAAACTAAGATATTTTGTTACTGGAAAGAACCTTAGAATTTGTCTGATACAACATCTGCCATTTTACAGAGGAGGAAACCAACGCTTGAATGTCAACTAGTACACAAAAAATAAATACATGTTTCAGTTCCAGTTCTGGATGAAAGAGCTGGAAAAAAATGTCTCTCCATTCTATCCTTCTTCTGGAGCATGCGATCTACTGGCCAAAGGACATTTTGTTGACAATGGAGTATCCTATTATGGTTTGGATCTGGAATGTACTCCCTCATGTGTTCAGAAGTAGGGCTTTTAGGCAATAATTGGCTTATGAGGGCTCTGATCTCATCATGTGGCTGAATGAACTATTGGGGGATGGGATCTAGTTGAAGGAAATAGGTCACTGTGAGTATGCCCTAGACAAGTTCATCTTCTCTCTAGCCTCTTCCTCCCTCTATGTTTCTTGGCTGCTATGAAATAAACAGCTTTCCTCCACTATATCCTTCCACCATGATGTTCTGTTTCACCTCAGGACCACAGCAGTGGAGCTCACTGACCATGGAATGAACCTCTGAAACCATGACCCCAAATAAACTCTTTCTTCTCTAAGTTGTTCTTGGCAGTTATTTTGGTCACAGCAACAAAAAGCTGACTAACACATATCCCAAGCTTATGTTCAGAAAGACTGTACCTGTAAGAGGCTAAGTATTCAAAATGCATGGAAAACTCCACATTTCTTTTTGCAGGGCTTTTCAAGACTTTACAATTTTAACATACCTTATAGGTTTACAAAAGGGAGGGTTAAAACTGACAATTTTTAAACAGCTTGGGCCATTTCTACCTTGTTCACAGAAGGCATATCAGTGTTTTCCATGAATAACATTCAGTGGAACACACTTGAGAAACCTTAAGTGATCTGTCACATTTTAGAAAATCCAGCATAAATTCTTTTTGCACAGTTAATATAAAGTTTAATTTGGCATAATCTTTTTTAACTTATGCTTTTTATTCTATCTTCATCGTTACATGAAGACTGGTGACATATTAATATTCATGTCAAATATAACAGTTCAGAAAGTGATAATTAAATATTCTGATGTACAAAGAAGTAAACATTCCTGTGCCATTTTAAAGATATATAATATTTTAATTATTAAATTAAAATATTATTTTAATCACTCATAAAATATCACTGTCTATTCTAAATAAAACCATCAGCAAAATTGAACAAAACTATAATCTAAACACAGAAAATAAATGTATTCAATGTAGAAAGCAAACTTGTTTGAATCTGAAAGAAATTTTGTAGTAGAATGTGCAAAAGGAGTGAACAAAGATTAATTTGCCATAAATATGGCATCTATTATATTAGTGTGGTGTTTTCTTGAGTAAACAATAGAAATATTCAAGCCATAGTTAAAAGGCCATGCATTTATAATCTAGGAACTTCTTGGAGATAATGATAAGACTCATTTGGAGTTTAAGAAAGGAATTACTAATATGCTCTTATTTAATTTAATAAATTGACAGATAATAAACTTTTCAAAGAGTAGAATTTAAGCCTCACTAGAATATTGCCAACATTTTTCTGTTCTCTAAATTATTTTGAGGAATAAAAATTAAAACATACCTAAAGTCACTTAAATTAAAAGCAATTTTTGCCATCTTTAACACCTTTTTAATAGAGCACATGTACAGTGCATCTTCTAATTTTTAAAAAAATTTCATTTCAGAATAGTTTTAAATTTATATGAAAAGTTGCAAAAAAACCTTTCATGTGCCTGGCACTCAGTTTCTCTCTTATGGTTAACATTTGTACAATATGTTTGTCTAATGAATGGGCTGATTGTCCTCTAATTTTTAATAAAGAAAATAAATAAGATTTTTTTTAAATTAGAAGCATGCCCTTATCATTTATTTTCTCGTCTAGTGACGTCTATGGGCTAAAGAGGCCAATATGAGGAATGCATTATCATAGACGAGAGAGCAGCAAAGTCCAGATATGTGTTTCAGGTGGCACCATACATTTATTTATGTCAGGATTCTATAAAACTGTTTTGAAGTTTCAATTTGCACATGTGCTGTGTATGGTATAAGAAGAAAGAATAATGAATGGAGTGGCTGTTTCCCCCTGAGATCAATGCTGTCCAATTAATCTCTCCACAATAATAGAAATGTCCTTGGTATCTGTGCTGTTCTCTAAGCACACTAAACTCTTAAAACAGGGATAGTGTGATTGAGGAATTGACTTTTAAATTTTATTTACTTTCAGTTAATGTAAATTTCCATATATTTGCTAATGGCTCTCATATTGGGGCAATGCAGCCTCATGTAATTTTAAATACAGCATCTACTGGTCTCATGTTAAACAAAACTAGAATCACCTGGGAAGCCAGTGAGAGATACAGATTTTCTATATTGTTCTAGAAGATTCTGATTTGAAAAGGTTAGATAGACTTAGGCATCTTCATGCTTATTAGCCACTCCAGGTGATTCTGAAACATTGCTAAATTTGGAAGTTTCTGGTTGGGACTCAGGCTTCCTTCTCTGTATGTGGACAACTCCTGGGGTTGATCAGCACCACTTCACTTTGAGCCACTCCAGGACATCCTATGAGGATGCTGAGTGCCAGGCACTACTAAAGAGTAAGCCTGGGAAGTTACTGTACCCTGTATCTTCCTCGGGGCCCCAACAGTGCTTCAGAAGGAATGGAGAGTGTGACACCTTGTGGTGATTACAACACAGGTCCTCAAGCAAACCACGACACACTTCTTAAATGAGCTGTTTGCCTAACATTTTAATTCCAAAATTGCTACCAAAGAGGTCATCAAGGGATTCTGGAAGAAGAGTCAAGGATGGTAGCTAAAGAGAATGACTGAGAGCAAGCTGACAAACACAACAAAAAGATAGGTGGCTATCACCTATAGACCAGAAAAGCCAGGCCCATTAGACCTAGGTGGGCATGGGGACAGAGGGTTTTGTCAAAAGCTCCAAGGAGAGAGAACAGAGACTAACAAACAGCCCATGAGGCTCAAATCTCTGAAACTTCATGCAATCAGGGTACCTTTGCACATAATTTTGAATTCAAACTCGACTTTCAAATTCCTCATGGAAGTTAAGGCTAAGGAAGGAGGGGATAGTCTTTAATGACCCAAGCAGAACTTGAAGTCAAAATTCACCTCTAAATGACCATCTAAAGCAAATAACCAACAATAACAGATAATCTAAAATAGGAGAAAAGGACAATATTCTTATTATATGGGTATAATATGTATGTTCCATTATGAACCAGAGAAGTGGTACAGTATAGATAAATTCTCATCTGAACATTTAAAATTTCTGAATCAAAACCACCTTTTTGGTGTTGTAAAGGTGTTCAATGAATGTTTACAAAAGGAAAACATTCTATTATTTTGCTGCATAAAAGAATCATACTCAATATTCTTAAATATTTATATTCTACATATTTTGTTTTAAAGAGATATATTTAGAAAAGGTATCTTACAACTTTTCATGTGCTTGGATCTTAACTTTTGGCTGCTTTGTAGCTGCTTAATCTAAATAGCAGGTAGGACAGATTAATTCTGGGCTTTTCAGAATGAATGGTTAAGTAATGTTTTAGAAAAAAACAGTCGTGAAGGATGTACTGTCTTGAGTCTTACATGTTTATATATATTTTACCCAACAGAGATGCTAGGAAGCAAGCAAACTGAATCTTAAGTAAGAAATTTAAAGAGCTCAAGGATACAGAATTCAGCTATGTAAAAGAAATCTGACAAAAAATTAAAGACATGAGCAACATCCCAGGTCAACATAGTAATGAACATTCTTTCTTTTCTTTTTGGTACTGGGGACATCCCAAGCCCTTTTTAACATTTCATTTAGAGACAGCGTCTCACTAAGTTGTTTAGGGCCTCACTAAGTTGCTGAGGCTGTGGCTTTGAACTGAGTATCCTCCTGCTTCAGCCTCCCGAGCCTCTGGGATTTCAGGCATGTTCCATTGCACCCAGCTGAGCATTATTTCTTAAAGATAGTGTGATGAAATAGTCACAAAATAAATGAATGGATCATGTATACACATACCAAAACACAATCTGCTCAAATCCGCATCTCTTTAAGACAAACTTCTTCATGGGTGTGATGGGAAACCAAGGTAGATAAATATCCTGTGCAAATACATTTTCATACAGAAATTCAAAATTGAAGGTAAGTAATGGCTTCCCATTTGTGGTGAGACAAAATGCAGGAAAGATCATTGCTTCTCTAAACCATTGCAAAGGCAGTGCAAAAGACTCCTGTGTCAATGCCAGTCAAAAGCTGGCACAGGTCAGTGACCTAAATAGAAGAGAGATCGCAGCTTCCTTCTTACCTTTCAATCACAGCTTGCCAATTGTTGATTAAGAAATCCTTTGCTATGTACCGGCCAACTTCAGATGCTGCCACAGCTTCCATTACATTTGTTTCATTAAAAGTGAATGGAGATGTAGTGATGGCATACTCCATATATCTTCAAGAGTGCATTTGCAAAAAAAAAAAAAAAATTAAAAAATTCAATACAGAGTCAAATAAATTGAATTAAAATCCCATGGTTTTAAGTTAGCAATTCATAAACACGTTTCTTTTTAAATCTTTAGCACATTTCTGTTTTTCTCCTTTTGGTATATAAATTGAATCCCTCCACCAGGAACTTTTAAAATAAGTTGACCACAATCACCTGTTAAGTATCCATGGGTCTTTACTGCAGCTCATTGCATAAGCAAGTTGGATCCTTTCCTCCTCCTTTGTTGTATTAATGTAGACATTTAACAAAAAGTCCCATTCTTTATCACTTCCCAAGGCAACGCCATAACATAAAATCACATTTTTAATTGGATAAGGTATTCTGTAAGGTATAACATGCAATGATATTTCTCACAGTAGTTAAGTTATTCAGGTTGTCACATATTTAGAAGTAGAAAAAATATTTGAAAAAAAAATATTTGAAACCCCAGACATAAAAATCAAAGTAGAGATATAGAAAAGTAATGCAGGAACTGTCATTTGCATTCATGCCATAAGAAAAGATCATCTAATTAGCTTAAAAAGTGAGTTTTCAGAGAGAAGTAAATGAATAGTATGATGTAGGTGGATAAAAGAAATTTGGTCTTCTAACTCATTGTCATATTCCTCCTGTGGTAGAGGTAATGAAGACAAAAATGTAGTCTCAGCTTTCAGTGAGACTTCAAATTTAGAGGGTGGCGGGGGTTGGGGGGGAGATGCTCTGATAAGTTCATAGACCTAATGTGAATAAACAGTCACAAAGAACAACCCAATAAGACTCAAAACAAGCAGCAGAGAGAATTCTATGTTAAATGTTTATGGAAAGAATGCACCAGCAATAAGGGGTCCTGGGTGACAATTTACCTAAGAATTTGAATCTTCTATTGTTATGCAAAGACAATTTTTTTTGTGGCAAGAACCTATAATTTACTCTTTTAGCAAAAATACAAAAATCAATACAATATCACTCATTATATTAGTCGTGGTTTACATTATATTTCTATACATGTTCATTCTATGGATGTGCACCTTTGTATACTTGGATCTACATCTCATTTCCTCCAAATCTCTACCCCTGATAATCACTATTTCATTCTATATAGACGATTGTTTTTTAAAAGGATATTTGAAAAGAAATTAGAGATATTAACCAAGTGAAAACAAAATGATCACTGCCACTGTGAGAACATCCAAAAGATAGAGACATTGGTTCTAAAATATGACACAAACAAGGGAAATTACAGTGTCACTCATACTCGTTCTCTGGATGGTTCATCCATTTTCTGAAGAGTTCTCTTGACAGCTGGAGACAGTCTTCAAGACCCAACCAACATGCAGCTCCAAAAACTTTTTCCAGTGATATTCTTGAAGGAAAAAGTCAAAGAAAAGCATTTCATTTCACATTATCACCTTCATTTTCTTCGAAGAGTGAGTGCTTCATGAAAGAATGAGCACTTTAAAGCTTCCTTTCAATAATATCAGGTCTGTTTTTAAAAAATAGCTTTTGTGGATGACAAATGGATTTAAAATTCAGAGAAACTTTTGCTGAGAGGCTCTCAGGCACTAAAAAAACTCCTAAGACTAGTATTTTTTGAAAGTTAGAAATAAATTACTGCCATCTTTCATCTCCCTCAAACACACATGGGTGTACACACACTCCACATCTGTTGTCAATTTCCTCCCTTTGACAGTAATTGCCTTATGGATTAAAAAAAAGTCTTTATAGTATCTGATCTAATACACTTAAAAATAAGGATCTCTCTGCAAGAAAAAGAAAGAAAATAGTTTATTTTGCTCCTTCTGCAGTTTGCTTTCCCTTGCTTAAGTATCTGTTTCTTCCCTTACTCCTCCTGGCTATTGTGTGCATATACAGGAAAAGAACAGAGGTGTTGGTTTGGTTTGATTTATTTTTATAGCTGAGCAAGGATACACATTGTGATTCAAAGCAAAATAATTTCCAAAATAATAGAGAGAAAAGCAACAATAAATCCAGGTAAGAAATCCCTTGCAGTGTGTCTTCCTACCCTCTCCAAGTTTGGGGTCTGGGTAAAAGAAGCCAAACTGGCTGTAAATTTCCAGAAAATGCAAAAGCCAAACGCTGTTGCTCCACCCTATAGTTTCAACCCAGCCTAGCCTGCCCTTCTGATAAGCAAAAGTGGAATGTCCAAGGGTGGAGATCCTCTGAGAGAGAGTTCTGGACATTAATTTACGTAACTTACTCCCTCTTCCAACCCATGCCAACCCCAAGCTGGCTGCAAAAAGACGGAATTCTGAGGAAATGCAGTCACTCCCCAAGGTTGCTCGAAGAAAAGAACCGGCCTAGGATGCTACAAAAAGTAAGCCACTTCAGTGTAATTTAGGAGAGCCAAGAATACGTCTGGTTAACATATGTGCTGCCTGATGGAGCACATTTGGCCATTCTGTTCATTCACACAATTTGCCTGCCCATTCTATCTTAGGCAGTTCTCACCTTCTTCCACCTTCTCATGTATTCAGTTCTGTGTCCTTCCAGTTACATACCCTAGAGCTAAGATTTCTAGCCTCTCAGAGGGTACAATTGAGGGAATAATCAATGTTGTATATTTTGTATTTCGTTTTTGGTCTTTATTTTTTTTTATTGGTTGTTCAAACATTACAAAAAAGCTCTTGACATCATATTTTATACATTAGATTCAAGTGGGTTATGAACTCCCATTTTTAACCCAAATACAGATTGCAGAATCACATAGGTTACACATTCACATTTTTACATAATGCCGTATTAGTAACTGTTGTATTCTGCTACCTTTCCTATCCTCTACTATCCCCCCTCCCCTCCCTTCCCATCTTCTCCCTCTACCCCATCTACTGTAATTCATTTCTCTCCTTGTTTATTTTCCCATTCCCCTCACAACCTCTTATATGTAATTTTGTATAACAATGAGGGTCTCCCTCCATTTCCATGCAATTTCCCTTTTCTCTCCCTTTCCCTCCCACCTCATGTCTCTGTTTAATGTTAATCTTTTCTTCCTGCTCTTCCTCCCTGCTCTATTCTTAGTTGCTCTCATTATATCAAAGAAGACATTTGGTATTTGTTTTTTAGGGATTGGCTAGCTTCACTAAGCACAATCTGCTCTAGTGTCATCCATTTCCCTGCAAATTCCAAGATTTTGTCATTTTTTACTGCTGCGTAATACTCCATGGTGTATAAATGCCACATTTTTTTTTATCCATTCATCTATTGAAGGGCATCTGGGTTGGTTCCACAGTCTAGCTATTGTGAATTGAGCTGCTATGAACATCGATGTGGCAGTATCCCTGTAGTACGCTCTTTTAAGGTCTTCAGGGAATAGTCCGAGAAGGGCAATAGCTGGGTCAAATGGTGGTTCCATTCCCAGCTTTCCCAGGAATCTCCATACTGCTTTCCAAATTGGCCGCACCAATTTGCAGTCCCACCAGCAATGTACAAGAGTACCCCTATCCCCACATCCTCGCTAGCACTTGTTGTTTGACTTCATAATGGCTGCCAATCTTACTGGAGTGAGATGGTATCTTAGGGTGGTTTTGATTTGCATTTCTCTGACTGCTAGAGATGGTGAGCATTTTTTCATGTACTTGTTGATTGATTGTATGTCCTCCTCTGAGAAGTGTCTGTTCAGGTCCTTGGCCCATTTGTTGATTGGGTTATTTGTTATCTTATTGTCTAATTTTTTTGAGTTCTTTGTATACTCTGGATATTAGGGCTCTATCTGAAGTGTGAGGAGTAAAAATTTGTTCCCATGATGTAGGCTCCCTATTTACCTCTCTTATGGTTTCTCTTGCTGAGAAAAAAACTTTTTAGTTTAAGTAAGTCCCATTTGTTGATTCTTGTTATTAACTCTTGTGCTATGGGTGTCCTATTAAGGAATTTGGAGCCCGACCCCACAATATGTAGATCGGAGCCAACTTTTTCTTCTATCAGACGCAGAGTCTCTGATTTGATATCAAGCTCCTTGATCCATTTTGAGTTAACTTTTGTGTATGGCGAGAGGAGGGGATTCAGTTTCATTTTGTTGCATATGGATTTTCTAGTTTTCCCAACACCATTTGTTGAAGATGCTATCCTTCCTCCATTGCATGCTTTTAGCCCCTTTATCAAATATAAGATAGTTGTAACTTTGTGGATTAGTCTCTATGTCCTCTATTCTGTACCATTGGTCCACCCGCCTGTTTTGGTATCAGTACCACGCTGTTTTTGTTACTATTGCTCTGTAGTCTAGTTTGAAGTCTGGTATCACTATACCGCCTGATTCACACTTCCTGCTTAGCATTGTTTTTGCTATTCTGGGTCTTTTATTTTTCCATATGAATTTCATGATTGCTTTCTCTATTTCTACAAGAAATGCCGTTGGGATTTTGATTGGCATTGCATTAAACCTATAGAGAACTTTTGGTAATATCGCCATTTTGATGATGTTAGTTCTGCCTATCCATGAACAGGGTATATTTTTCCATCTTCTAAGATCTTCTTCTATTTCTCTCTTTAGGGTTCTGTAGTTTTCATTGTATAAGTCTTTCACCTCTTTTGTTAGGTTGATTCCCAAGTATTTTATATTTTTGAAGATATTGTGAATAGAGTGGTTGTCCTCATTTCCATTTCAGAGGATTTTTCGCTGATATTCAGGAATGCCTTTGATTTATGCGTGTTGATTTTATATCCTGCCACTTTGCTGAATTCATTTATTAGCTCTAATAGTTTCTTTGTAGACCCTTTTGGGTCTGCTAGGTATAGAATCATGTCACCTGCAAATAGTGATAATTTAAGTTCTTCTTTTCCTATTTTGATGCCTTTAATTTCTTTCGTATGTCTAATTGCTCTGGCCAGTGTTTCGAGAACTATATTGAATAGAAGTGGTGATAGAGGGCATCCCTGTCTTGTTCCAGATTTTAGAGGGAATGCCGTCAATTTTTCTCCATTCAGAATGATGCTAGCCTGGGGCTTAGCCTAGATAGCTTTTACAGTGTCCAGGTAAGTTCCTGTTATCCCTAGTTTTTCTAATGTTTTGAACATAAAGGGATGCTGTACTTTGTCGATTGCTTTTTCTGCATCTATCAAGATGATCATATGGTTCTTATCTTTAAGTCTATTGATGTGGTGAATAACATTTATTGATTTCTGTATATTGAACCATCCTTGCATCCCAGGGATGAATCCTACTTGATCATGGTGCACAATTTTTTTGATGTGCCTTTGTATCCGATTCGCCAGAATTTTATTGAGGATTTTTGCATCTAGGTTCATCAGAGATATTGCTCTGTAGTTTTCTTTCTTTGAGGTGTCTTTGTCTGGTTTTGGAATCAGGGTGATGTTGGCCTCATAGAATGAATTCGGAAGAGCTCCCTCTTTTTCCATTTCCTGAAATAACTTGAAAAGTATTGGTATTAATTCTTCTTTAAAGGTTTTGTAAAACTCCACTGTATACCCATCCGGTCCTGGGCTTTTCTTGGTTGGTAGTCTTTTGATTGCTTCTTTTATTTCATCCATTGATATTGGTCTGTTCAAATTGTGTGTATCCTCCTGACTCAATCTGGGCAAATCATATGACTTAAGAAATTTATCGATGTCTTCACTATCTTCTATTTTATTGGATTATAGGTTTTCAAAATAATTTCTAATTGTCTTCTGTATTTCTGTAGCATCTGTTGTGATATTGCCTTTTTCATCCCGTATGTTAGTAATTTGAGTTCTCTCTCTTCTTCTCTTCATTAGCATGGCTAAGGGTCTGTCTATCTTATTTATTTTTTCGAAGAACCAACTTTTAGTTTTGTTAATTTTTTCAATAGTTTCTTTTGTTTCAATTTCGTTGATTTCTGCTCTGATTTTAATTATTTCTTGCCTTCTGCTGCATTTGCTGTTGTTTTGCTCTTCCTTTTCTAGGGCTTTGAGATGAAGTGTGAGCTCATTTATTTGTTGGTTTTTCCTTTTTTTGAGGAATGACCTCCAGGCGATGAATTTCCCTCTTAAAACTGCTTTCATTGTGTCCCATAGATTCTGATATGTTGTGTCTGTATTTTCATTTATCTCTAAGAATTTTTTGATTTCCTCCTTTATGTCTTCTGTAACCCATTGGTCATTCAGTAAAATATTGTTCATTTTCCATGTGATGTAGGATTTTTTCCTTCCTTCTTTTATCATTGATTTCCAGTTTCATTCCATTATGATCAGATAAAATGCATGGTATTACCTCCACCCCTTTATATTTCCTGAGGGTTGCCCTATGGCATAATATATGGTCTATTTTTGAGAAGGATCCATGTGCTGCTGAGAAAAAAGTATCTCCACTTGATGATGGTTGATATATTCTACATATGTCAGTTAAGTCTAGGTTATTGATTGTGATATTGAGTTCTATAGTTTTTTGTATTCAACTTTTGTTTGGAGGATCTGTCCAATGGTGAGAGAGGTGTGTTGAAGTCACCCATAATTATTGTGTTGTGGTCTATTTGATTCTTGAACTTGAGGAGAATTTGTTTTATTGACATCGCAGCACCATTATTTGGTGCATAAATATTGATAATTGTTATGTCTTGTTGGTGAATGGTTCCTCTTAACAGTATATAATGTCCTTCCTTATCCCTTTTGATTAACTTAGTCTTGAAGTTGATTTTATTCGATATGAGGATGACCACCCCTGCTTGCTTATGAGGACCGTGTGCGTGGTATATTTTTTCCCAACCTTTCACCTTCAGCCTGTGTATGTCTTTTCCAACCAGATGTGTCTCCTGGAGGCAGCATATTGTTGGATTTGTTTTTTTAATCCACGTTACCAGCCTATGTAGCTTTATTGGAGAGTTTAAGCCATTAACGTTTAGAGTTACTATTGATAGATGGTTTGTACTTCCAGCCATGTTTGATTATTTATCTTTTTTTAATTTTAATTTAGTTTGTTTCTCCATGATTAGCTTTCCCCCGCCCTCTGTCTTTACTGAGGCACTTCCCACTGATGGTTTTGGTTATTGTTTTTCATTTCTTCCTCATGTAGTGTTTTTCTCAAGACGTTTTGCAATGCTGGTTTTCTGGCTGCAAATTCTTTTAGCTTTTGTTTATCATGAAAGAGTTATATTTCGTTGTCATACCTGAAGCTTAATTTTGCTGGATACAGAATTCTTGGTTCGCATCCATTGTCTTTCGGTGTTTGAAATATGTTGTTCCAGGATCTTCTCGCTTTCTGTGATGAAAAATCCTTTGTTAACCTTATTGGTTTACCCCTGAATGTAATCTGCCTCCTTTCTCTTGTAGCTTTTAATATTTTCTCTTTGTTCTGTATATTGGATGTCTTCATAACAATGTGTTGTGGCGTTGGTCTACTGTGATTTTGTGTGCTCGGTGTCCTGTATGCATCTACAATTTGTATATCCGTTTCCTTTTTTATTTCTGGAAAGTTTTCTGTAATTATTTCATTCAGCAGGTTACTCATTCCTTTGGTTTGAATCTCTATACCTTCCTCTATCCCGATGATTCTTAAGTTTGATTTTTTTTATGTTATCCCATATCTCTTGGATGTTTTTCTCATGAGTTTTTACCAGCCTTTCTGAGTTGGCTAGACTATTTTCAAGATGATATATTTTGTCTTCATTATCTGATGTTCTGGCTTCTACTTGCTCCACTCTGTTAGTGATACTCTCATTTGAGTTTTTAATTTGGTTTATTATTTCCTTCATTTCTAGAATTATTGTTTGATTTTTTTTATTATCTCTATCTCCTGATAAAGATGCTTAACTTCTTCTTTTATCTGTTTATGTAATTCATTTTCATTGTGTTCTTTCACTGTTTGAATTTGCTGTCTCATATCCTCTTTAAGGTTCCATTCCATCTGTCTAAGGTATTCCTTGAGTTCTTTATATGACCATTTTTCTGATGACTCTAGGTCCTCCTGAGTATTTAGACTGTCCTTCATTGTTTGTACTCCTTCTCTTCCTTACTTTTTCATGCTGCTCATGTTACTTCTTGTTCTGTTTGACTGCTGAGTTACTGTTTACTCTTATAAATTTATTTGATGCTTGGGAGGAAAGATATTAGAAGGGAAGGGAAGAGGTCACTAAAGAGAATGAGAGTAAGCGGGTAGAATTCAAGGAAGGGGGAATAAGAAAATTGAAAAGAAAAGACAAAAGAAAAAAATAGCAAATAGAAAAAGAGAAAAAATATTTAAAAAATAATAATAAAAAAAGTAAATGAAAATGAAAATTAAAAAAATAATAATAATAAAATAAAAAAATTAACAAAAAATTAGAAAAAAATTAAAATACAACAACAAAAAAATGAAAATGAAAAAAAAATTAATAAATGCAGTCGTAGAGTTTGATTAACTTCTCTTCCAGTAGGTGGAGCTGTGTCCATTGGGCCAAGCTTCTCCTCTCAATAGGTGGGAACCAATCACTGTGCAGCAGCTCTTCCTCCCAGACTGGGCGGGTCTCCAATCCTGAGTGCCTAGGGCCTTCTCTTGTGTCTAGTCACTTCCCCACTTTTCCTCAAGCCAGGCCCTGCTCACCGGTGACGCTCACCACAATACTGGCTACATGCCAGGTCTGCCGCTCCTGGGAGCCCTGTTTTCATGAATGCCTGGGCACACTCTCCCTGTTTGCCATTCCCTCAGACCCTAAGTTTGTAGAGCTTGGGGCTGGGATCCCCCAGCGAATTTGCTTACCCTCCGGTAGCAAAGCCCCTGGTAGCTGGTGCAAGAGACCTCAGTTATCAGCACTGGTGGGAGCGGTAGCCGGGAGTTCCACGCCGCAAGTCCCGCGCCGCGAGTCCCGCGCCACTCCTGATTCCCTCAGTCTAGCTATCATGCTCACGGGAGAGCTGGGAGGGCCCTTAAGGTTTCCCTGCTGTGTGGAGAGGGATGGCTAGGGGATTACACACCTGTCGCCGCTGGTTTCAATGAAGTTATCTCCTCCACCACGTTATGGTGACGTCAGTTCTCTGCCATGGGTGGTATCCCATGCAAATGGTGACAGTTCGTTCCCTTTGCCGGGTGACCAATGCAACAGGTGGGTCCTGACTGTCTCTCCCAAGCCCCGTTTCAAACCTGTGGCCACTGCCTATGAAGGCTCGGTTGGCTTTTACCTCCGTAAGTTCACAAGGGCTGACCAGTTATTTCAGCGGGGTCTTTAGTGCTGAGTCACGGCAGTTTGGCTGCAAGAAGCAGGCGGACGGGAGCTTGAATGCAGCCGATCCGGGTTCGGTGTGTGTTCTGAGAGGCCCAGACTGTTCGCCCCAGATCCACGTCAGCTCAGCATTGCCTAGTGATCCTGAGCAAGCAGCATTTAGACAGTTTACGACTCCTTATGCCCGCGCAGCTGAAGAGGTCAGAGACTTGATCTCTCGGCACCTGTCGCCATGTTGGATCTCCTCTTTTTTGGTCTTTAATTGAGTTGAGCCTGATGCTGACTAGAAGTTGTAGCTATAATGCCTGTACTTTGGTGGCTAGGAATTCCCTCCCTAAATCCAGAAAGGCACGTCCACACACACAAGCCTTGGGTCATGGGGTGTGCCGAGGTACCACAGCCCCAGGTTGCCTTTTGTCTCCTTCCCAGACCATCATGATGTGCTTATTCCCCTTGGGAAATTCATTTGCAATACTCAAACATGCTCATATACTAGTGACCACTATGTATCCCTGTCAACTGACTTCATTACATGATAGAATTCCTGTTAACAATAATACAGAGGGGACTTTTCCCCCTGTGGCCTTCCCATGTTCTCAGACTTGCTGGCATAGGGTAGTTTGCTTAGCATGACTCTTCTCTGGTTTCAACCAGTAGACTAATTTTGAGAATATAGAGTTATATACTCCTGTGTGTGCACACATATACTTTGCAGACAAATTAAGACCCAAGGTATCCTCATTAGAATAAGACATATTCCATGTTTGTATACATATGTTAAAATTGACTCTACTGTCATAAATAACTAAAAAAAATAAATTAATTTTATCACAAAAAAAAACAATAGCTAAGTGTTCAAAGTCTGATGTTTTAATCTGTTTAAAACCTCAGTGGATATTCTTTGTTCTTGGCTTTTTAAAAAAATGGAATGAAAAGAATGAGGTTGCAATCTTCATATCACTGATAAGAAATAGTTGTTTATTTAGTTTTACCTAGGAATGTCACCCAATAGCTGGATGTCTCTGAAAAAGTTTCTTAACTTTCCTGGATAGGTTTTATAATATGTAATTGGATATAATACATTTGTCACAGGGCTATTGTAAGAATGAAAACTGTGTCACAAAAAAAGAAAAAAAATTTTTTTAAAGTTATTATTCCAAGCTATTATTCCCTATAAGGACACATATAGCCCACCAATCAAATAATGTACAAGCTCTCCCAATGAATAATAGTTATTAAGATGATATTTTATGAATCTGGAAAACCATATATTAATACGAATAATTGTATTCAATTATCACTGCTTAAAAAGATACTTACAGAGCCAAATAGTCATCTTGCAAAGCTGCTACATTTTCACGAATTATTGTTGAATAAATATTCCATATTGAGTTAAGCCTTTTTAATAAATACTTCTATAAGCCACAAAGAAAATATACAGTTAGTTCTGACTCAGAATACTACATTTTTATTGTATTTCTTTTTATTTAAAAAGATATTAATAGAGAAGTTACATATTTCTTCAGAAATTATCCTTATTTATTATTAAATGTATAATTGTTTTCTTTTTAACTTTTTGGGTTCATTTCCTCTTACATAAAAGTGGTTTATAATAATGCTAATGTTGTAGCTTTATTGTGAGGATTGAGTAATATAATGTCTATGAGCACACTACCTGGCACATGGTCAGAACTCAGTAAATATTAGCTATAACTAACATTTAATATCAACCAAAACATTTCCATATGGAGAAAATATATAAAAATGTAAAACAACCTTTCTACCTTAACATTTCCATGCCAAGTGTACATATATACATACACGTGTGTGTATATATATATCATGTCTTTATATATAATAGAGTTTTTAAAGTTTTATAATATGTAAATGGATGTGATACACTTGCCACAGGTCTATCTTAAGGATATCATATCCTTATATACAATAAAGGTATCTTTATATGTAATAAAAATATTTTATATATATATATATATATATATATATATATATCATAGCCTTAATATATATGTGTGTGTGTGTGTGTGTATGTGTATGTATGTATGTATATATACATATATATATATATATATATATATATATATATATATATATATATATATATATATATATATATAAATGCTTATTTGGTTTTGCCTAGGAACTACTTCATATCTTCAAAGTAATGAGAACTGATTTATGCCCTGGACAATCTAAAGCCCCGAATTGAAATAAAGTTCTCTGAGCTTCCAGCTCATAAATACAAGATTATGAAAGTTAGACAATTACTAACATATTCCTAAGAACAAACTAAATGTTAATCATTGAAATTCTCTGAAGATAAGTACTAATTTTTTACTTCTTTACCCATAACCAAGCATTAGATGTTATCAATAAGCCAACTCAGTCCCCAAAACAGTGCCTTCTGCCACTGGCCACCACCCCTATGCTCCACTAAGTTCCCACCAGTACTTTTGATACTAAAAAAAATCAACATCTAGGACCTGAGATATTTGTAATGCCACCCACAGAATGACCCAGAAATGAACTCACTTTCTGACTTGCTGTGGCCCCTAAATATCAAAAGGGTGGCTCCCTGGCTCTTGCTTTGATTATACAGGTGCCATCCCATAAGTGACTGTTATTTAGGATGTAGCAGTGAAAATTCTCCTCTTTATAGTCTGTCATTGATGGTGGCATATCATTTCTTCATTCATTAATTTAATTTCCCACTTTTTCTTCCTAATATTAAAAACAACTACAAAACTTTTATTCTTTCTGGAATATAGTCCTCTGATTTTAAGTGTTGATCCGGTAGATGAAAGTATTGCAATTATAAAAACAGGGCTGTTAAAAAGACCTTGTGTTTACTTAACAAACTCTTAGAGAAATACTTTCTAATAGATACTGTCCTTTTCTATATGAAAGTAGATGCATTATTTCCTTCAGTTCTGGTTTCTTAAAATACACTGTCACCTTACCAAGAATGAAGTACCCTTGCAAATTTCTCTCATACTTATCTCCTAGACCAGCTAAGAATAATCAGCTATTACTAAGAAGACTATAGCTACATGGAATGAATTGACAGTTACTTTGGGAAAGAGCTGTCTTTCAGATGCTGGCTAGAATATGGAAAAAGGAAGAGAAAATTTATTTTAAAACTACATAACATGGGCTAAGACGTGGCTCTAAGTAGAGTGCTTGCCTAGCATGTGCAAAGCCCTGGGCTTGATCCCTAGCACCAGAAAATAAAACTACATAACAAAGCATGAAATTACCTTTAATAATGGGTATGTATCATAGTCGTTCACATCAGAAACAAGATCCCTGGTTATCAAGTTTACCAAGACTTCATACCATACTATGATTTCATCTTCTTCAGCAAGGTACTTGGTTAAATCAAGTGCTGTTTCAATCTCAATATAATTGCTTCTGTTTGGTTTAAAAAAAACACACACAGACACACACTTTCAAAAAACCTTCACCTGCTAAATGATTTGTACTGATTCCATATTTGTTCCGTGCTTCAATGCCTGACTTCAATAAGGTGTGTGAATAAATCAAAAGGCAAGAAGGTTACTTAAGGTTCCATGTTACTAGTAAAATGAAACACAAGAAGTGTTGCCAGACTTTCCATTTCAATCTAGTACATTCATGCATCCCAACTGGAAGCTGTAGAAAGTCCAGGCCAAATGTTGGCTCAATTATTGGGCAAGAGAATATTAGATATCTATTGTGTGTTTTTATGAGAGTATATTTTCTATTCAATATATATAAAGTCATTATCTAATGCTCTGTCAGCTGCCAGTGGGCACATAATCCATAAGACCCTACGCTTGCCCACTGTTAAGAGCATTGGTGAGGAGCAGAAACTTGCTATTAGGTCCTGGGACAGGTGATGAATACCATAAAGTGGCAAAGAAAGAAGCATTCGCATGGAAAGGGGGAAATATGAAAAGAGGGGACAGTCAGAGAAGGCCTCATGGCTTTTTGGAAGAACTTGAGAAAACCACTGAAGGATGGGTAGAATTAAAATGGACAGAGAGAAGGAAGAAGACAGCCCAGAGAAGGAAGAAGACAGCCCAGGACAAAAGTAACATGGGAATTAGTGTGATGGGCAGACCAACCTAACAGAGGGAGGGAATTTCCTCTATGTGTGGTGAGAGGTGGAAACTAATAGGTGAGGTGGTTCAAACCCTCGAAGACCCTTGAATGTCAGAATGAAGAGCTTAGGTTTGGTGGGAAAGCACTGTCAATATTTAAGTAACTGGGGTAACATGATGCAATTGATGCCTAAAAATTTCACTGCTGCAGTGCTGACAAAGACAGAATGAAAAATTCAAAAGAACTAAAGGCCTAGAGCCTAATGAAATAGGTACTAATGCAATAGGCCAGGCAAAAGATGCCAAAAATTTTACTTAGCATGAAGCAACTAAAGTTGTAAGGTAATAATCCAAAGGACACAACAAGAATGAATAAATAATACATACAGACCTGTGAAACATGAGAGCTGGAGAGCCAAAAGGAGAATATCTGTTAGGTTTCTAGTTTGAGTAATGAGAATAGTGGTATTCTTGACACAGGCACAGAAATTGATAGCAAGAGCATTTTGGAGATAGAAATAAAGTTCAGTGTTTAAATGACTAAAGGATAAACATAAGACAGGAGGAAAGCAAAGTTGATGTGTCGATTTAGAGCATTTATTTTTAGAGCATTTATTAATCATCATATACCATCTGGGTACTGTACATATATAAAATGGTCACTGAAATCATAAGAATGAATGAGCTATCCAAAGGAAAAGGAAGAAGATGACATAACCATGATTGGGCTTCAGTATGCTCACAGCAATAGGAAAAAGCAAAGTCAAATACATGAGGAGAATTGGGTTTGCAAGTGGAGTCTCAGGAAGCTGAAAAGTTTTTATGAAGTTGTAGTCAACAGTATCAAAGTCAGGGTGTCCTCAAAGAAGGTTTTCAGAAAGGTTTTGCATAAGGAAATTAGCTGCAAGTCACAGAGGGAAAAAGCAGCAAAGACATGACATCCTCAAGAAATATGACAGGACAAAGACACAGAGCATGCTAGATAACTTACTACATTATAGCCCTTAATTTTATTGCATGGAAATTTTAAATCTGTAACATATATTAATTAATTTACCTGGTTAAATACTTAGCAGTGCGTCTGAATTACTCTGAATAAATATATTTAAAGTCAATAATTCTGCAATGCATTAATATACAAGCTAGATCTCATTAAAATTATACCTATAGTCATCACCTTTGGGTAAAGAAATGACTTCGAAATCTCAATTGATAGCCTATTTATTTTCAGCAACTCTTTCTGCTATAAAATTCCAATATGACCACAGAAGTTGAAACTAATTCTAATCAGTTAAGTCATGTGTATGCTAAAGAATAAACTCTTTGCAATGAGGCTATTATTTTTTATGAATTTTAGGTATACTCTAAAACAACTATGAGAGAAGTAAACATACTCACTTAGACAAGGAAAAAGCATCGTCAATCAACTGCAGTCTGTGAATAACAGGAATGGCCTGCAGAATAAGACCCAAACAGGTGAAGGGAAAGATGAGAACACTTTTAATAAAATATTTTTTTAAAAAATAACATTTTAAATATCATTGCTGCCTCCAAAGTATTTTCACATGAATTATCTCATCCACAAAGTAATTGCTAAGGACAATCCCCATCATTTATTCATTATACATCTATTTTTGATAAATGATCCCTCTGGACATCAATCATAATGTTAAAATATAGCAGAGAATTTTGCCAAAGTACTCCCTAAACATACCACATTAAAAAATAATAAAAAGGTAGCCATATTTAAAAGGCCTCTCTAAAAACAGAAAGCATACAATAAATTGTAATACAGTGTCCAAATTATGTTCAGGTGAGTTTTTGGCATGGGAGGACTTAAATAAATATTATTTCACACCACTTTGGTAATACCAAGGTATTCTGTCTTTTTAAGATTTTACTGATGTGTCACATAGCACCAACAGAGTCCCTTATATACATGAAAAGGTTGGTACCTTTGGCACTAACTGGTTAGCTTTTGTCCAAATTCCTTGGCATTACCAGGTCACAGGACTCTGAACTCAGCTTCAATACCCTCCAGGTGCCCAAAGCCTCCTACATCATTCCTTAAACATCTCCCAGCTCTTTGGTATATTTGGTCCTAGAAAATTTATCTTCACAACATTCCTCTGAGCATCAGAGCAAGCCAAGTTAAATTCTTCCCTCAGTAATAGTCTCATCACTTTTCTAGCAACATTAATACTTATATTTTCTAGATGAATAGTAATACTACAAAGTAGGATTTATTTGCTCACCAATTATTTTGTAGAAAGAATTTACCTCCATTTTTCCATAAGTAAATCTATTACGGTTTCAAGAAATTATTGCTAAAATTACATAACCTAGTATTTTGTGTTGTAAAGTGCCCTTAGAAACTAATAAGAATTTAGCCACTTTGATAAAGATTTTTAAAGAAGATATTATTTTAAGTGGATTTTGTAAGTTTATTTAAAATCTTATTTAAAAAAAAGTACTGCAGGGTGTGCAGGCACATGCTTGTAATCCTAGAGACTCGGGAAGCTGAGGCAGGAGGATCTCAAGTTAAAGCCTCAGCAACTTAGCAAGACCCTCAGCAACTTAGTGAGATCCTGTCTCAAAGTAAAAATATTCTTAAAAAATGACTGGGGAATGTAGCTCAATGATAGACTGACTCTGGGTTGAATCCCCAATATACATATTTTAAAAATTACTGAAATGTTCTGAAAACCTGACCTGTGGTTTGATCTTTGTTAAACATAATACAGGTATCAATTATTTAATCTCCACAGCAGCACTTTAAGGTTGGTATATTATACCCACTATACAAATAAAGAAATTGAGGTGCTGGTCAAAGAAGAGGTCCAAGTTCACACTTATGGTAAATGATGAACAAAAAAATATGAACATGAGTCTCCCTGACCCAGAACCTATGGGTCATCATGCCATATGGCTTCCTCAGGGAGAGAGGCTTATTGTGTCCTCACAGCATTTTTGAAAAGCAGACATTTAAGACATATTTTAATTCAACACTGCAGTTTTATAAATGGGATCTAAGTGACCTGCCCATGGTTCACAGCACATCACAGTAGAGCCAGCGGCATAGATCCCTAAGCCACCATCCATTGCTACTAGTGGAGATTCGGTTTAATTCAACCAATTAAAATCTATTTAATTTGAGCTGTTCAACCTTAGTGTTTATGGATTTCATAGTGATTTCATAATGTAAAGTGATATTGGATCATTATTGCTGTTTTATGAATTAAATTCTGTCCTCTGAGGAAGCACATGAATATGTTTTCAGGAATAAAGTTAATATTTTCTAACATATATTAAGTAACTATATGGGCTTAGAAATTTTAAGTATTTTTAAACCTACATCATCTTTAATCCTCATGATAAATAAGACATAGTGATATTTCCATTTTAAAGTGAAGAAATGGAAGCAGAACATTTAAGTCACTTGCCACAGTTTGCAAAATAATTAGTAGGAAAATGTATTCTGATTTTCACCTGAAGGTAAAATTATTTTGGAAAAGCAAGACGAATGTTCAAAAACATAATGCATTCAACCAAAACCACCCCTTTTCTAAGAATAAGAAAAACAACCTCTTCAGTATGGCTGGAGGTGAGGGGTGGGAATAGGGATGGAGTCTCTTCCCATAAGAGAGCTCACCTTCTAAAGATGAGAGAGGACACCATGAACAGTACTTAATTCAAACTACCCAACATAACCTTACCTTAGGGTCCTTCACAAGCTGTTGACTTAATTTTTTCCAACCTAATTTATCATAATTAACTCTATAATAGCCAGTCATATTCAAATTTAAAATCACCCAGTCTTGGTCAGAATCTGAAACTTGCATTTCAGGGAATACTTCTACAAAAAAATATAGGAATAGTTTGAAATGGTACATTTACAAATTTTTTTCAATACATTTTTATATAATTCATTCACAGTTCTAACAATAAACCTAACAAAAAATTTTAAAATTCAAATTATATATTGGTCTTACCATATAATTATATTTTTTACATGTAATGGCTTTTAATTAAAACTTTTCTTTAAAGTTCTATGTTCTACAAGAAGGATACATTTTAGTTCTAAATGAGGTCTCAAAAGCTAGACATTTGAACATCTTATTCACTGCCTTTATATATGTGTATATATGAAGCTGTTTTTTAAAATTTGCTACTTACTGCTGCTTTTGTCTAGCCAGACTAAAGATTGTGGAGCTCCATTTTTTATCCAAAGAATAGGGACAATCCATGTGTCACTTTGGGGAAGAAAAGCAAAAAAATTAGTTGATTTTAACACATAAGAATGCACACTCTGAGCCAATATTAAAGACATGATAAAATAGCAGACAGAACTGGAATTCTTCGCTCATTCCCTCTGGACTTTTTGCTCATAGGATTGTTTGCTAATGTTTTTACAAATAGCCAGTTTTGCTTTGGCTATTTGCTCACTCCCCTCTCTTATTGTGTCTTACAGATTTATTCTTACAGTGTAGGTAGCTCCTAAGACTGTTTTATATCTGCTCCCTTCAAGGCCAATTTATGTGAAATTATGACCACCTGGCCTCTCTCAGGGGCATTCAAAGGCTGTACACAGACCCAAATCAGTCCATGCCCAGAGGTGAAGGATAGTTTAAGAAAATGCTTAATAAATGTTTAAAAATACTTTTTAGTCTCTATCTCTCTCCCCATCTGAAATATGCTCAACAGAAATCATCCAGGACATTTATATTTGTTGGATCCCTACATTTTTTTCCACATTGGTGGGTGTGACCCAGATGAACCTGCTGACCACAGGGAGCTCATTAGTCATCTGAAAAGACACATGACTTGGACGTTGGGCAGCATTTCCAGTCTTGCTCAAATTTTCACATGCCTGGTCTCTCAGACTTGCAAGTGTAAGTATGTGTTTTTTTTTGCAGAGTTAAGACTTCCCTCTCTTTCAAAGGCACAGAATATTACAGTGAGAAACAGCCCTCAGTTCTCCTGTTTTCTTTCCCCTGGGGTTTTAATGAAGGAGTAGGACAACCTGAAAATTTTGGTGATGGTATTTGAAAACTGATTATTCATTTGTGCTGATATCTACTATAATAAAATGTGAAAACCAAAACTATCAAAAACAGTTGAAAATTAACAAATTAAGAAAGGTAAAAGAGGGGAAGGAGGAAGTGATGAGTTCTGGGCAACTACTTGACATTTCATTTTTTTACAACACTTCCCTAAGATGTGTCAATACATTTATTTTATAAATAAGGGAACTGAAACTCAGTTTTATGGGTTTTATTTTGTTTTTACATGGTGCTCTGTCACAAAGCTATATCCCCAGCCTTTTTAAATTTTATTTTGAGATAAGGTCGCTCTAAGTTGCTAAGACTGGTCTTGAACTTGCAATCCTCCTGCCTCAGCTTCCTGAGTTGCTAGGATTATAGGTGTGTGCCACTGTGCCAGTCAGAACGTCTAAACAAGATGAACCTACTGTAGTGAGCCGTGTTTGTAGACCGTTGCCGCCATTAGAAGATGGCACCGGTCTCCGTTGTGGATCTTGGTAAACAACTCCTTATTAGGGAGAGTTGGCACGCTGTCCCTCAACACCCTATGAGAAAACCCCGCGTGGCAGCTTTGGATTGGACTTGAGTAAGCTTTATTAGGCTATGCTTGGGCGCTCGGCGGGGGGTCACTAGAAGATGATACATGAAACAAGGCCTGAATAAACTGCTGAAAGAAGAATCCTGTGTCGTGTTTTCCCTTGCCGGCAAGGGGTCGCGACAACCTACGATTTGAATTTTGGTGAGATCAGTGTTCCACGCAGGTCTAACTGCATCTAAAGGCCATAATTCCTGTGGCACTATCTTATTGCCTTTCACCCAGAATCTAAAGTATTCATTACCTCTATCTAAAAGACTATGAGCAGCATATAACACCCCAAAGCCTTGGTCACTGGCATGGCTCTAAATCCCAGGAGAGGGACATGCTTTGGGCCCCTAACTGCAGATCTCCAGCCTTGCTCAGGACTCTGGGGCTCTGTCTCACCCTGGTACACAGTGGCATCCTATGTAGAGTTCCTTTGCAGTAGGCCATGTGCCCATCAAGGGCTATGCTTCCTCCCCACTGGCTGGTTTCCATTCCATCAGAGCTCAGCCCAAGGCAGGTGAAGACAAAGAGAAGCAAAGTTACCTACTTGTGAGCTTGAAGAGTCTGATTTTCAGCCTTTCCAAGATAAAATGGTTCCTGTTTCATGAAACCAGTAGACACATTCAAAGTGACGACTGGAAAACCACCCCGGTGTGTCCAGCTGTCCATTATGGTTTTTACTGTTGCTGGCAAAAGGATCTCACTCTGGTTATCTATGGCCTGGTTTAAAAAAGATCATCACAAATGCAGACACAGTTATCAGCAAAACCTTTTGAAGTAGCAATCTCCTAAAAGAAATGCAGTAGCTATGCTAGTCATCATCTACATAGTAATCCCCAGTGATCTGGGCCAAATTCAGAACGCTGTTTATTTCTTTACAGTTATCCTTTGGCATGAGGGGGATTTGTTCCTAGACTCCTGGAGATATCCAAATTCACGGATTCTCCTGTCCCTTAAATAAAACAGAGTAGTGTTTGCATGCAACTTATGCACACCTTCCTGTATACTGTAAATTATTTCTATACTACCTATTGGGATGTAAAAACTATATAAATACAGTGACTGTTATACTGTATGATTTAGGGAACAATAACAAGAAATAAAGTTCTGTATATGTTCAGTACAAGTCCAATTTTCTCTAATATTTTGCATCTGGGGTTGGTTGAATACAGAGAAGTGACTATATATGAGTGGTTACATACTTCATTTATTCATTCATTTACAGAGTACATATTTATGAATCTAGTTTGTGCTCTGTTTTGGGCATGAGAATACAGAGAAGACTAAAGACACAATTCCAATTCCTGACCTAAGGGAGTTTCACAATCAAGGCAAAATTGCTTTTCTGTGAAGCTGCCATTGACCCCTGGCCTCCCAATCTTGTACTATAACAGACAAAACAACCCAGTAAGAAAGTATCCAAAAGTAGGATGATTACCATTTGAAAATGCCTCCATAGATCATCTTGCTCAGCATTTGAGTAAGAAAACATCTTCAAATATGACTGTAAAAATAGGGAAGTTACGGTTGAAAAATAGCATGCCTTAGCTATATGTGTTTGCTGTCATCCAGGTAGCAACTGGTCTGCAAACTCACCTTAAGTGCATTGATAAATAAATGCTCATTCAGGAAACTGGAAAGCATCCGGGCCATAGATGCTCCCTAGGATGTAAGAAGCTGTTCATTATTTGCACAAAATTCAATATCTACATACTGACACATTGCATTTTAAAAAGCGATATTCTGGGCTGTGTTCCTGATCGCATTTTGTACTTTAACTGAAGGCTTGAAGTATCCCTAAATATACTGATAAAATAGTAGTCTGTCACTAATGAAGAAGTAAACAGTGAGCTAGTGTACTACATATAAAAAATTGAGGGTACACTAAAATTTTTTGATTCAGGTATTTATATGTAATAATGTATTTCTCAGACAGAATGATCTGTCTTTATAATAATCTATTTATGATGATTTTCAACCTTTCCAAGATAAAATGGTTCCTGTTAATATTTTCTAAGTTATAACTAATTTGACTACATTTTCTGAAACCCATTTATTCAATAAAATTAAGGATATTCATATCAAAAGTTTTAAGTTTCACATTAATCTACAAACCTTAGAATCCATCTTATATAACTTTCTGCAAGAACAGAGGAAAATATCTAACTGCTTTTACCTTGTTGTACGTAAATAAGTCAAAGAGCTCATTTATGTCACTTGTTTCTGTGAAATTTTCCACCTTCATGGATACAGCTCTAGACACCAGGGCATGATCTTCTTTGAGGACACCATGTAAAAAGTTAGAAAAAAAGACCTCATTCTATAAAGGAAAAGATTAAGCCACATTAACTTCTGGGGTGTCATAGAAACACAAAATTAAATGGTCCTAAAACACTTCCAAAAACTTCTATTGAAGGGGGAAAAAAAGAGAAGAATCTGTGAATCATAGTAGGCCTAGAGTCATAATTCCTTGAATAACAAAACTATAGGAGACTTCCCTTCCCATTTTATACCTTGTTGTATTTAAAGAATCATTATAAAGTTAATGTGGTATCTAAGAGTCGTGTACATTTCCCCTAAAGAAGCCCATGGCTACTTGCCAGGGCCTTCCAGAGAACAGCATTTCTATGTAGTTTCAATCCTCTGGAATTTGATTGGTAATTATATTAGTGATTCCTTAAAATTGATCAGTCTCTCTTACATGGACATTTACAAAGCCAAAAGTATACTAAATTTGTAAATCTGCAAGGATGTAGACATAATAACTTACAATTGGAAAGAAATCCATAGGCATTTTGAGAAGGCAGTTTACTATATTTTAATGAGAATCGCAGAAATCTCCTAGAGACTCTATCACACATAACAAGGACAACCTCTCTCTGATGTAAATCTAGGAAGGAAACCGAAATCATAGACAAAGGGGGATATGGGATGCCAAAAAACAGAGAAAAGATAATGGAGAAATTAAACAGACAGTTTGTTCATAACCTGTAGAGCAGGTCAAGCCCCTGGTAACGCCTCAAATCCCTACTGTCTTTGGGCTCTCCAAGTTTACTGTCTCACCCCTTGGGATGTTATCAGATAATCTTTCAAATTGTGTTCTATGTCCAATGTTCTGATCAACTCTTTCCTATTAAATAGCAGTTAATTTTAAATTAGTAATACTATTGATTAGGCCATTATCAGACTCTCTCTTCCCCAAATGAGAAAGCCAATCACATAGAGTAATGTGTCTCAAACTTTTTTTTCCTTCCCAAATGGAGTCTCACTCTGTTGCTCAAGCTGGCCAGGAACTTGCAAACCTTATAATTTAGTCTTCTGAGTAGCCTGAATTATAGGTATGTACCACTAGGCCCAGCTAGGTATCAACTTTTAATGTAAATAAGAATCACCTAGGAATTTCATCCAAATTATGTTCTAACTCAATTGGTCTGGGTTGACACCTCCATTTCTTATAAACTACCTGATACTACTGATATTGCTAGTTCAAGAATCACAGTATCAAGAATTTAGAGGAAACATCTACACAGGTCTGCTCCTATTTATTAAGGATAATGAGAATCGCAGAAATCTTCTAGAGACTAGATCTCTATCACACATAACAAGGACAACCTCTCCCTGATGTAAATCTAGGAAGAAAACCAAAATCATAGGCAAATAGGTTGTATTGGTTTAAACTCAAGAGTTCTTGAGAGTTTCTGTTGACCCAAGTGTCATATAAGCACAACATAGAAAATAGTGAAAATAAAAAATACCCATAATCTCACACCCAATATAAGCATAACTACAATGTTAGTATAATTCTTTCCTATCTTTTTTCCTATATATTGATTCCCATAGTTGTAAAAACTTTTATATTCTACTTTACTTATCATATCATTTTAAAATTTCACTACCTCATCTTCATAATTAACTCTTATAAGGACCGCTGCGTTGTAAGTGAAAGAGAAATGTAAACTTGAAAGAAATAAGCCAAATATAAGAAGCAATTCTCACAGGTGGTCAAGTCAGAGGTGAACTCCTTTTTTTTCAAAGTTTATCAAACAGAACTTTTGCAAAAGCTAAATAAGAAAATAAGTAAACATAGCTATTGGTACAATGGACCATAATTGACTTAATCATTCCCCTGTTATTAGAGATTTGCGTTGTTTCTAGCTTTTGCTGTTATAACCATTTTAATGAACGTTTCTATACTACATGTAACCTTTTCCCTATTTTGTGGGGCTTCCTCCCCTCAGAATGAATTGTCTCTGTCTCTTTTGACTGCCTTGTATAAGGTTTTACATAATCTTTAAGGTATCACTGCGACCACCCAAGATAACTGTGATGCACAGTATGTAATAATTAGAACATGCCCAATAAGTGTTCCACTGCTGTGATTATTTATCATCGTTGTCATAATAATCATCATTTCTTCAGGGTTGTTCTGAGGATTGGATGAGATAATGTATATAATAATCTGTAAGCATATAATAGAGAGCTTAGTTGATGATAGCTGTCAATAAAAGGACACAATAAATGCTCAATAATCTGTTGAATGGCAGCATGAAACCCATTTAAACTCAGAGGCATTCAACAGTGTGCCTCAGCTTACAATAGTAAAGACAAACAAGATCTGCCACGTTGCAGAGTCCTCCACAGATCGGCTATTTCCTTAGACCAGGAAGAAGAAGAAAAGTCACTGAGTGACAATGTCAGAGCTGGAGCTTTGGGAGCCAGGAAACCCTTGGTACTCAATGTTCTGAACCCTTGACCACGACCCAGTCACATCATGCTTTAATGACTTGCAGCTGAAATTAGACCAAGATGTAGAAAAAATGAAAATGTTTCTGCATATGGTTCTGTGATTCCATTAGTCAATTTCAATCAAATTACTAAATTAAATGGAAGCCAAAGTTCACAGTCTCCAGAGAAAAACCTTAAGCTTTTTAATCACAAAGCTCATGGCAATTTCCTCAAGTGACAAGATCTGATGTTCTTTTGGCAAGAGTTATACTCACTCCATTCCACAAGTTATTGAGAAATATAGACCCAGAAAAAGAGTGATTAAGAAACCAATGATTAAAAAAAATCAACTAAATGGTGCAATTTTAACTTCAAAATTACCAATAATAAGTCTTCATCAAGTTTGCCAGAATCTGGTAATATCTAGCCAGTCTGGTTGCATTAAGAGGTAACTGAATTGATGTTAATGATCCACTCACTTAAGAAAAGAAAGGGTGGGGGCTGGGGTTGTGGCTCAGTGGTAGACCGCTCGCCTAGCATGTGTGAGTCACTGGATTCGATCCTCAGCATCACATAAAAAAATAAATAAACAAAATAAAGGTATTATGTCCATCTACAACTTTAAAAAAGTTAAAAAAATAAGAAAGGGTGAATTTCATTGTCTGATGGGAATGAAACTGCATTATTGATTTAAGTGCAGTTAATCTGGGATATAACCAAATGCTTTTGAAAAGTTATAAATAACATTAACCATGTGTGATTCTATTTCATAAAAGAATTACACACACAATTTTGTAGGTACACTTGAGTATATTGAAAGGATTTTTGAAGAAAAGATTTACTCCATGTATGCAAAGTTTATATGTAGAGTAAAAAGTCAAAATGAACACACACACACACACACACACACACACACACACACACACACACTGGCTCCCTGAGATTAGAAACACTTTCATGTGCTCTCCCTGAAAAGCAGTGTGGTTGAAAGCCTGGGAGTTAACAGTCCTGGCACTGAACCTCAGACCTTGTAACTTGATGCTTGATGCATCAGTTCCTTCATCTGTAAAATAGAAATAACAACTACACTCATGTATGTGTTCTGAGAATTAAATAAGATGATGTATGTATAGAACTCTCAGTGCTTTACACTGATATTCTGGGTATCTAGGTGAATGCCAAATTCAATTTTATTATTGTTATTACCACATTATTCTAGTTATTATTATCTATTTATTATTTTAGTTATACTTATCAGCCTAGGCTCAGACAACTGTGTTGTAAATACAGTTCTGTTCAGTTAGTAAAACAAGCTTAGGAAAGTCATTGAACATTTCAGTCTCCTGTTCTATATAATAACATCTAAACTCCTTTTTCAGGACAACAGGGCCTGTGCACAGTGCAGGGGAGGAAAGAGGAGGCACTGCAGAGTGACAGGGCTGGGACTAGGGGCAGCTTTCAGAATGCAGGATGTATGGCATGGAAATGGGACATTAAGAGGTCTCTCCACCTCAGAACTTCCCAAACACTATGATTTCACAAACAGGGAAAAGGAATTTTTAAAAGTTTTTATGAGTCAAAATAGGTTTTTCAATTTTTTATTCTGCCAAACAATCAACAGAAACAAATATCTACTATCACCATCTTTCATAAAAGAAGGAAATTTTACTACAAAAATAATGCAGTTGGCCCTCCATACCCATGGATTCCTCACCAATGGATTCAACTAACTGTGGATCAAAAACATAGGGGGGAAATTGTGTATGAACTGGATACATACAGACTTTTTTTTCTTCTAATTATTTCCTAAACAATATGGCATGACAACTACTCACATAACATTTGTATTGTACCAGGTATCAACCAGAAACCTAGAGATGATTTCAGGTATTGGGGAACATGTGCTTAAGCTATTTGCAAATATTACACTGTTTCATATAAGAGAAATCTACAGACTTTGCAATGTGAGGGGTATCCTGGAATCACTCTCCCAACGAAAGCTGAGGGACAACTGTAGAAAGAGCATAATCTTAGAATCTTCTTTATAATGAATAGACTTCACTTGTAAAAAAGATCTGGTGAGTGGAAATCAGCATCTCAAGTATTAATAAGCAGTTTGAATGAGTGAGGGTAGGAAGAAGAGAGAAGAGGTCAAGATTTGGAACAATGAGGAGTGAGATGACAGAGTAGCTAAGCAAGAGTAGCAGGAAGGAGCAACCCAAAGACCAGAGAAGTGACAGGAGGCAGAAACCAAGTAGGGATGTGGGTATCGGGAATGCAAGCCAAGAAAAGAACCTCTGCTTTGCTTGAGAAGAGAGGTCTATATCAACAGATAACATTATATCTAAATATTTAAATATCTAAATCAAATCAAGTCAATTTGGCTTTTTCATGCCATTCTAAAAGCACTACCTAATTACTACAACTAAACATCAGAAATAAAAGCTATAGTTGAAACCATCAGGCTTTAATATCTATAAATTTTTAAAAATACATACTACTCTTTATTCCAATCCACAAAGCAATATCAACAATAGTATTCTACAAGAGTCACAATAATTAGCATATCACTTATCTTTGAGGCCATAGACTACAGATTAAAACTGCTTTAAAATTTAGTCTGGGTAGTGTTATTGTAGGCCAGGCTAGGCAATGACCAAACAGACTCCATTTTACCCTGAGACTCCATATCATGTAAGAAATGCTTCTCCCATGGGAAAGCTCCAACTCTGTACCCATTAATAGTTACCTAGCAATTCTTATATAAAAATTGTTCTCTTTGCTTTCCATATTTCTTGGGCAATTTACCTTTTCAGAGATTAATTGTCTAGGCGTTAGTAACCATTCTCTAACTTGTACTCAACTAGGGTCATTTTGACCCACTTCCTTTCTGCTTACTTGCTGCTATGCCAACCTGGAAAGTCCTGTGGGAAATACTACTATATAATAATACCATTGCATTGTCTCATTAATTGCCCAATTCAGCTCCTGTACTTGCTTGCTTACATTGGCTAAACCGCCAAACGTCCCTCTTTTGGTTTTTTGGCTTAAATATGAGGCCAACTGAAGGCGGGTGCGTCACTCTGACCATCTCGCTTTTTAGAGAATAGAGTGTCCGATGCTGGCCAGCAATAAAGGCTTAATTGGAATGGCAATGTGTGGTCTGAGAGTTATTTGAGAGTCTCGGTATCGGTATAACAGTAAAAATAAGTGAAAATAACCAAAACCTAATAAAAGGCAAAGATTATTTGCAAACATGTTATAAGATGAAATGATAAAATATTAGGCATCCATTAAAATTTTTTTCTTATAAAAGAATTCAATGATGTGTAGAAATTCTTATGATATAAAATGGAGTAGAAAAGCATTATGAATTTCTAGGTAATTCCAACTTCAAAAAATATTTAAACAGGTAATTCCAGAACAAAAATATATGAAAAAGATAATATGGATCACCTCTGATATCAATATTAGTAATTTAATTTTTATATTTTATATATTTTCAACAATGAATATGCTTTAATTATAAATTAGGAGAAAATTTTAAAATAAATTTAACAAACATACTTACTCTTGGAAGTTTAGGATTGAAGTAGTTAATTATTCCAAACTCAAAATAAGATGCAAAACCCTCATTGAGCCAGATATTGTTCCACCAATTCATGGTAACCAAGTTTCCAAACCACTTTTGGAGATGGGAGAGAAAAAGAGCTTTCTTAAATTTAAGTTATATTTATTGTAATTGCATGTTAAATAAATGCAAGTTCAAAAAGACATAATTAAACTTTATTTGCTATAAATAACAAAACTTGAAAACAGGATTCCAAAAAGCAGGCATTGTTTTAGCATGAGATACAAGTCATGCATTTCTCTTTTGTAATTATTTTCACATCCAATGATTGAAAGCAATTTTTGTTTTCAAACTGTAACATTTCTTAAACTATTCACATTGCCCAAAATTATTAGGTTTAGTTAAATGAAGCAGAAGTCCTGTCTGCTGAGTTACCACCTAGTAATCCTTGCACATTATACTCTAAACAGGAGTTCATTGTGTTATGTTTTAAAACACGACTTGATCTATGCCACATACAAATCATTCAAGTAATCATATGTTATGCAATGTGGTCTGCTGTAATTATTTTCTATTTGAACTGAACAGAAAAAATAAGTGTGCATTTTGAACGGAACTAAGAAAGAAAAACAATAATTTCCAAAACCAACAATGCACTGGGATTTAACCAGAGTTTTGTAATAACTGTTAGCAGCCTGTATTCAAAAACAGAATGCAACTTAAGGTATAATAAAAAATGACACTTGTGATGACTGATCAAAGCCGGTGAAAGTGTGTGTGTGTGTTGATTATACACTGGGGTGTTATTCAATCCTAGTAAATTGCTCTTTTCCAAACTTCTTATGGAGCCACATCACTAAGAAGTAACACTTCCATGCTTGAGATGATTTCTTTCTTGACAAATGCATGTAAATGAAATAGACTGAAATGCAGATGTGAGAATTTCCACCAAATCCAAGGGCTAACCTTCTAAAATCACAATGTGAAAGAACACTGATCTAATAAAATAAATGTTTACACTGCCTTTGCTGATGCAGCTAGAGGATTAATTATTGCTCTCCTCACTAATATGTTGCCTGTATCCATTTAATCTCTTTCCAAAGTAAAATTAAGTAAAAGTTTGAAACAATTCTTTGATAAAATGTGTGTATTTTTAGCGACCCTTTTGGGTATCCTGTATTTTAAGATAGAATGAAAAACAAATACTCAGAGCTCTGTATGGCTTCTTTCTTTCTTTTTTTTTTTCCTACTAGGGATTGAACCCACGGATGCTTTGCCACTGAGCTACTTCCCCAGTCCTTTTTATTTTTTATTTTGAGACAAGGTTTCACTAAGTTGCTGAGACTGGCCTCCAACTTGCAATCTTCCTGCCTCAGCCTCCCGAATCACTGGGATTGCAGGTGTGAACCATTGTACCCAAATGCTTATTTTCCTTGAAGAAGACTTTGTGGATCAGTTATCTCTGAATGTAAATCCTTACCCCTTGCCTGGACTTGAGGCCTCATCACTATGGTCCATCACCAACAGCCCAAGTCCAGCTGGAATCCCACTAAGCAGATCCTTCCTTGATTTTACTCACTGTCACATTTTTTAAGGTTTTTTAAAAAATGTTGTGTGGCAGTGTTTTTGTTTTATGCTATTTTTGGTAGAGCATCTGGAGAATACCTCCATGTGAAATAAAAAAAAACAAAAAAACATTTTACCACATGCCTGGTGTCCAATCTCATGGGAGAGAATGTAGGAGATCAGAGTCTTTTTCTCGGTCAGTTGATCACTTGGTAGCAGCAACAATAATGATTCATCAAACATCAGTAGTCCCCAATTTTCCATTGCACGGTTGTCAAAAACAGGCAACGCAATTAAATCTAAGTGGATTTAAGTGGAGGAAAAAATGAAATCATCCCCTCCAAAAAAGGTTAAGATTTTAGCTATAAATTATCTTAACATGAAATTACAAAATTACTGAAACTTACAAGAGAATATTTATAACCTGAGGGGAGAGAAGGCTTTTTAGAGAGTAACAGCAAAGACAGAAAATAAATTGTTTTGATTATATAACTATTTTGATGAAGGATGGATTCAAGTATACAAAGAACTCTTAAAACCCCAAAATAATAAAACAAAATGGGGAAAAGATCTGGATAGACACCTCACTTAAGATGATCCACAAATGTCAAACAAACATGTAAAGATGCTCAGCATCATTTGTTGTTAAATATGTGTACATGAAAATGAAAATGAGATACCACTATGCAAACTGGGGTTTGACCAGAATTGGGTAATTAAATGGCTACTACAATGGCTTAAATCCAAAACACTGGCAAAGCAAATTCTGGCAAGGATGCAGAGCATCAGGAACTTTCTCCTCTTTGCTGGTAGAAATGCAAAAAATTATACAGTCACTATGGAAGACAGTCTGGTAGTTTCTTTAAGAAGCAAAATATAGGCTTACAGTAAGATTTAAGGATTGCATTCATAGGTATTTACCCAAATGAGCTAAAAACTTACATTCACACAAAAACATGCACATAAATGTTTACAGAAGCTTTACTCATAATTGTAAAAATTGGAAGCAACTAGAATGCCCTTCAGTAGGTGAATGGATAAACTGGTACATTCAGTATTATTCAACACAAAAAGAAATGAGCTACAGAGCTATGAAAAGATATGCAGGAAACTTAAGTGCACATTGCTAAGTACAAGAAGCCAGTCTGCAAAAGCTAAATACTGTGTGAGTCTAAATATATGATATTTTGGAAAAGGTAAGATAATAAAAACAGTAAAAATGTCAGTGGTTGTCAGCGATCCAGAGAAAGATGAATAGGTGGAGCATGGGAGAATTTTACAGCAGTGAAACTATTCTGTGTGATATTATAACAGTAGATACACATCATATACACTTGTCAAAACCCAAGGAACTATACAACATACTTCAGCTAATAATACTGTACTAGCATTGGCTCATCAATTGTCACAAATGTACCACTCTAATTCAAGATGCTAACAATAGAAGCCCATAGTGAGAAAGCGAAGAAGAGGGGAGGTATGTGGGAACTCTCCACAATTTCTGCACATTTTTTCAATAACCTAAAACTGCTTTAAAAGTAATTTAAGTTTAATATTGAATGCCTTAGTTCATCAAAAATAACTGAAACAAATTTGAATGACAAACCACAAACTAGAAAAAATATTTATAATATATACCACACACACACACACAAAAAAAACTAGAAAGTGTGTGCGTATGGGTGTGTATGTTTATGAGGGGAAGGGAATCTGTCAGAAAAAAAAAGAAAAAACATACTTAGGGGGATGAGGTCCAGAAGTTCAAGACCAATCTAGGCAACAGAGCGAGACCCCATTAAAAAAAAAAAAAAAAGCCAAGCATGGTGGAGCACACCTGTAATCTCAGCAACTGGGAAGGCTGAGGCAGGAGGATCACAGATATGAGACCAGCCTCAGCAATTTAGCAAGGCCCTAAGTAACTTAGTAAGAACCTGTCTCAAAATAAAGAGAGAGAGAGAGAAAGAGAGAGAGAGAGAAAGGGGGAGAGGGAGGGAGGGAGGAAGGAAGAAAGGAAAAAAGGGCAGGTTGGGGATATGGCTCAGTGGTAAAGTGTCCTTGGGTTCAATCCCCAGTACCAAAGTAAATAAATTAATTAAAAGAATAAGCCTGATTTGATGGCTTATTACACCTGTAATCCCAGTGACTGGGGAGATTGAGGCAGAAGGACTGCAAGTTCAAGGCCAACCTTGGCAATTTGGCAAGAACCTATCTCAAAATAAAATAAAAATGATTGGGACTGTAGATCAGAGGTACAACCCCACTAGGTTCAATCACCAGTCCCACAAATAAATACATGAATAAAAATAAAATAAAAAGAACAATTCACCAGGGGCTGGGGATGTGGCTGAAGCGGTATCGAGCTCGCCTGGCATGCGTGCGGCCCGGGTTCGATCCTCAGCACCACATACAAACAAAGATGTTGTGTCGGCTGAAAACTAAAAAAATAAATATTAAAATTCTCTCTCTCTCTCTCTCTGTCTCTATCACTCTCTCTTAAAAAAAAAAAAAAAAAAAAAGAACAGTTCACCAAAGAAGTCACTTAAATAGCCAAGATCTTATTTAAAATGCCCATCTGATTAATTATTTAAAAATCAAAAGTTAAGGGGCTGGGGTTGTGGCTCAGTGTTAGAGCACTTGCCTGGCATGTGTGAGGCACTGGATTCAATTCTCAGCACTGCATATAAATAAATAAATTAAATAAAGGTCCATCAACAACTAAAAAATGCATATTTAAAAAAAACCCAAAAGTTAAAAGGATATACTATAATACTTTCAAATGTACAAGATTAATAATTAGTGTTGATGCATATATAAGAAAACTGGCACCTAAGCTGATGGGTAAAAGTGTCAAAAAGCACAATCTTTCTGGAATAATCTGGCAAAATTCCTCATAATCTTTAAAAAATGTTTATAACTTTTGACTAAACCATTCTACTTTTGGAATTCATACCGAAGCAGATAATACAGATATATGCTATTATTTCCTTATAAGGATTTTATTTAGTGTTTTCAAGGTAGCCAAGGTTAAATCAATCCAAATGTTCAATCACAGAGGGTTAAATAAATTACTTTGTTAAATTAATGTGTAGGAACTCTATGTTTGAAAACAATAATATAAAAGAATGTTTTGGGCAGGGGATGTGGCTCAAGCGGTAGTGCGCTCGCCTGGCATGCATGCGGCCCGGGTTCGATCCTCAGCACTACATACAGACAAAGATGTTGTGCCCACCGATAACTAAAAAATAAATATTAAAAATTCTCTCTCTCTCTACCCCTCTCTACCTCTCTCTCTCTTTAAAAAAAAAAAGAATGTTTAGTTATTTGGATCTTGTTCCTGTGTACTGTTAACTTAAACAAAAAAGGAATTCAAAAACAGTGTCAACTCTATGGTGCCATTTTCATTTAAAATGCAAATAGAAAGAGATCAAGACTGACTGATAAAATATAAACCAAAATATCAGTCATGGTTTTACATCTGCCTGACAGCATTACAGGAGACATTACTTTTCTTTTTTGTGCTTTTCTATTTTCTTCCAAATTTTCTACATTGTGATTATTTATTACTTATATTTATAACTAGAATAATAGATGTTTTTGTTTTCTTTTTCTAATGGAAGAAATGTCATTCTTCTAGTCCATGCTACCTTTGTTAATGAACATGCTAAATTGTGCTATGCTGAATATTTAAGTTGAGTTTACACCCATGAGGAGGAGTGTGCAGCCAAGAGCCCCATAGTCCATTGCTTAGCACCTCCATTGCTCAGCGGGCCATGGGCACAGTTGGTCTTTAGCTACCTCCACCTCAGTTATTCTTCCTACTACCTGCACCCACACCCATCCCACCTACCAACCCACCCACTTCTCTCACAAAAAACTGCTCTGCTCCAGCCAGCCAACCCAATCCCTCTTGCTCCCCACAGTCAGAGTCTTTCTCTGCTCATGTTGTCTGCTATCCCAGGAAATCCTCTGCCCAATCTGTGAATGTTATTGAAATCTGTGGTCCAATCGTCCAATCTCACCAGCTCTAAGAAGCCATTTCATACTTCAGCTGCAGTTAGACTTAAGAGAAATCCTTGTTTCCTGATAAACTAACATTCATTCACACAGGACCCTGTTTTACTTGACTCAAATGATTAACTCATTATTTTAATAATATAAACATGCGTACATTTACCACTCAACCCTTTAAATAGAGGGTGTCAAGCTATATGTTTTCCATCACATTTTATATTTGCCATTCCCTTACTTTAAAGAAATATTATCATGTATGTATGTATATATATTTATACATAAATATATAGTTTAGTTTTGTAACAAAATTCAGAGTAGTTGAATAAGTGCTTTATTTTCATTGCTATACCAATTTTACATAATGGAAAATTGCACCATCATTTATTCATCATTTCTCCTATCAATGACTATTTTGTTGTTTTCATTTTGGGGTTATTATAAAAAGTACAGCTATGACTTTTTTCGGTACCAGGAATTAAACTCAGGGGCACTTAACCACTGAGCCACATCCCCAGCCTTATTTATTTATCTATTGATTTATTATTTTAAAGCAGGGTCTTCCTAAGTTGCCTAGGGCCTCCCTAAATTGCTGAGGTTGTTGATCCTTCTGCTCAGCTTTATGAGCCTCTGGGAGGCTGGGCCACTGTGCTCAGCTAGCTATGAATAATCCAGTTGACATCTGCTAGTACATGTGTATTTAGATTTCTCTTAAGGATTTATTTAGGAATGTTATTCTAATGTCAATACTGAAAGAGAATAAATATGCTTTAAATGGTTGTAATAATTGATACTCTCATTAAGGATACTGCATCTTCTCTAACAGCTGCCACTTATTAAAATGTTTACTTTCTGACAACCGAATATAAAATGATGCTTCACTGTGGCCTTGGATATTCATTTCTCTGATTACTAATGGAGTAAAACATCTCTTCATAAATTTATTAGCCACATATACTCTCTTTTCTTTTCATCTAACTTGTTTTTCTGTTGGGTTGTATTTTCTTACTTATTTGTAGATGTTTATATATTTGGGACACTTCAATTACCATTTCTTCATCCTCTTTCTCTTAAGACTCTTATTTGCCTAATACTCTATCTCTTGCTGATATAATTTGTTACTTGTGTTTCTGACATGTAGAAGCTGCTTCCCCAACTCTGTTTCTTGAGCAGAGCCCTACCCACCTTCTGTTTTTACGTTGACTTGGCACCTAGGGAAGTAATTGTTATTTTCCAGTATTTGCTCAGTAAATTTTGACTTTAAAAAAAGTGAGTTAAAAGGATAGCCACACCAGAAAAAAAAATGCTACTACTTACTATAGATATACAAATACAATTTATATTATCTTAGATTCTGAGCTCAGAATTCATCGAGAGAATGGGTTAACCAATAACTCACTTCTGACTCACCAAGAATGACATATGTGGGAACTGCTGGTGGGAAAGGCATTGTTGTTTTTGTTTTGTTTTGTTAGTGACTCCACCATGAGTTGAAATAATTAAGATACATTAGTTTATCTTTCTTCTAAAGATCCAGCAATAGAGAAACTTCTTATTTTAATCATCTATCAATAGAAATGAAGTATTAATTAAGCACCTATGGGTACTTATAGGGCAACATTGGCTAAGATGCTATGAAGGGTGCTATGCTTTTATATATTTAAAGTGCACATACAATTTCACTATTCAGGAGGTGATAAGTTAGTCAGAACTAGTGGCATTGCGGAACTGATTACATGTATTTATTCCTCTATCATCCTACACGCCCCACCCTGAATTTATTTACTGGTTACCATCAGAGAGAATCACTGCCAAGGTTCTGGAGGTAAATGACAAAGTAAATGACAATCCAGATCCTGACCCTGGTTACTCCCAATCAAATGGGGCAGACAATTAGAATACAGCCTGTCAAGGGCTCAAGTGGAGGGGTGCACAGGATCCTGTGGAAGCCTGAGGGAAGAAGTCAAGGATGGCTTCTGGGAGGAGGGGACACTGAGTTGATGAGAATTAGCCAGTTGAGTAGAAGACAGTCCAGGATGTACAAATTGCATGTGCAAGAAACGGGAGGAAACAAGAGGGAGATGGAAGCATAGGAAGGGACAAAGACTGTGTTCAAACATCTTTCTACTCTGAGGAATTGGAGAAATCCCTGAAGAGGTCGGTGCACCATTCTAAAGACATGGTACTGAGCTGGGACTTTATCCTCTGGGAACTGGGAAACCACAAGGCAGATTTAAAGAGGACTGAAAAATGTGATCAGATTTTTCTCTGAAAAGATCCTTCTGGCTTTGTATGGAAGGACAGAATGCGGGGCAAAATGGAAGGGGAGTAAAATCAGACGAGGACTTCTATATAGAGATATTGGTGATGTAAACTAGAGAGAACTAGGGGTAGGAAAGAAGTGAGTGGGTGGGTGTAACAGATAATAAGGTAATTAGTTGGATGGGGGTGCCTTAACGGAACAAGATAACTCTGGACTCTCATCTAAATAAACACAAATGGAATTTTTCTTGTCTAGACAAAGTTCACCTTGAGAGCCTCCAGCAAAGAAATGCTAGAAGCTTCATCTGCAAGCCCATTCTGCTGCCTTCAATCCCATAAATGACAGATGTCACCTCCAGAATCTCTCACTGGGCTGAAGTTGGTTCCATCCCTTCACTCACTATCCCCTCTTAGCAGAATCTTAGAGCTGCAAAGCCTCTGGCTTTCTGGTGTTCCAGAGCCTCAGGCCTCAAATGTTTACTCCCCACCTTCTTTCACCGTTTGCCACTACAGGCAGAGTGTCCTATTTCTAAGACTTCCACTAACATGTCCAAGGAATAAAACATATTTACATGATACTCTCCATTTAGAGAGAAAAAAGACTTTGAGCAACTTTCTGAACTGAGTGGTTCATACAATTTTACATACATACCACATATCTATGAGCAATAAAATATTTACATATCACCTCCAGGATCATATTTTATTCACACATGATTCCAATTTTATACAATGAAAATTCACAGATGTGACCACCAAGTCCTAATCCAATGACTCAGAGCTAAAGAATATTAAAAAAAAACTGAAGGGAAGTGGAGTATGTCATGCAAGCCCACTAGCTAAAAGGATCCAGAACCCCACACAGCACACTTGCATTATGTGAGAAAAGCCCAGAACACAAAGGAAAGAAGGATCTGGAGGAAGTGAGCTGCCAGTGAGTGCCCAGGAGGAATTTAAACCCCAAAGTTTTTGAATCCCTGCTGGGGACATGGCACCACACAGAGAAAGAACAGATAGGCCTCTATGGTTTCAGATGATGCAAAACATAACAATGGAAGGTAAGTCCTTAAAGGCTCCCATGAGCACCTTGTGACCTCAACTCAAGGGCCCCATAACAAGAAACCAATTGCATTGGAAGAAAAGATGCCTCACCTGTTTTGGGAAGAGGATAACTGATATTAAATAAATCCTCCAGAAATGAGAAGATGGGACCTGTAATGTTCAAAGCAAAGTCTGCGTTTCCATTTGCAATGGCATCTTTCCGGGCCCAGATGTGTATCTAAATCAAAACAATTCAGCAGTGATTAGGAAAACCAATAGAGATTTGGAAAAGTGGCAGCCTGCTTGCTCCATCTTCCTATAGCTCTACAGCCAAATTCTTACCTTTTCAGAGGCTCCATGTTTAAAACACTTCAATGAATACTTATGCTGAGAAAACCCCAGAAGACGGTTGACTGAGTTAAGATCCAAAAGTGTGTAATGTTGACTTTTGACAGTAATATGCATTACTCTGTAATTGAAAAACAACCCTTGGAATGGTCCATACCACCATCCCATAGAAAATGCAGATTCTACATAAAAGGACACTTTGAATCCATTCTTCCCTTTTCAGGATATATTTCTAATGACCCAAAACATAATTGGGCTGTTAGTGGTGGTTATACCATATGGTGTAAATGAGGGAAGATCAAATTATATAAATTTAAAATGGTTTTCAGCAATTAAAATATTAATTGTCCCATCTTATTTTCAAATTTTAAAATATAATTAATTCCCCTAATTTTAAAAAGTCCATTAAAATTTTAATAATTTTAGACCTATTAAAGCAAGTAAATTATATTCTCTGCTTATTCTCTTGCAAAAGGACACTTCCACTTTAGATGGTAAAAAGGAAGCTCTGCTGTCTTTTGTCAGTTTTATGTAACCACACTATTTTTTGAGTCCTTGGGAACTTTTATCTGTGATTTTTCTGAGTAATATTCCACTATTTTAACATTCATTACTACTGCAATATGGAAGTATAAAATACTCTACAACTATAGCATCTAAACAATTTTAATAGGATAGTTTTGTTAATGCTAAAGAAAATACATAAAATTAAGAAAGCCTGGAGCAAAAGTTAGAGGTGAGGATATTAAAATATATGTCCTGATGTGAATGCAATTAACTTAAGAAAGAGCTCTCTAAAAACACCGGAGGAAATGTCAAAAAAAACAAAAAACCCAAAAGCTGAACAATAGTTACAGGCTTATGTACTCCAAGAACACATTCACCTAACCATGCTTTTATTTCCACTGGAAAATTTGTCTTGAATTATGTGAATTTTGAATTACATGAAGGTTCAGGAATGTTCCTCTTGCACAAAATACAACCACCTGTTCTTGAGCCTCCAGCCTGGTTCCTTTCATTGCTTTCTGCCTCTTCTGATCTGCAGAGGCCTCATTACAGAGGGAAAGATGACCTCAGAACTGCACCCTGCCCTTGCACTACACCTACTCTCCCCCTTCTCAAGTTCTAACTTCTGAGGTGACAGGAAGCCTGATCAACCAAAGGTGGAAATAATATTCATCTTTCGCCACAGTGGAGATAATGTGTGTGTTTTAACCGTAGCCTTCCAGAAAATAATAGCATTGACAACTCATGTTTACATATTAATTTTCAGTTTACAACACTCCTCCCATAAGTGACCATTCTTCCAGCCCAAAGTGAGGTGAACTATGGAATGTGTAGCCCCTGGAAATGCAGCAAGGAACACAAAATGGTAAGGATTATTTTGGAGATGCAGCTATGAAGTTCCTTCCAAATAATACCTGGCTCACCACTGTATTCTGGTGGTCCTTACTGAAAACAGCAGGTCTTGACATCTAAAAGAATAATATCTTTGAAAATGTCTGTGTATGCCAAATTCCACTCAGAGTTATTTCCATCCCTACTTATGAGTCTCCTATGTTTATCCTCATACTTCACATTCACATTAACTACATTCCCCATTCCACTAAATCTTTATCTCTTACTTAATGAGCAATGTTTAGATAGGCTGGACACTATTCCAAGCAAACATTCTGGTATCCCTGTAGAGTATATGGTGGACTCATCAACACTGTAGAGCTGAGCCATAGCCAAATGCAACATTCCACTGATAAACTCAACCCAAACTTCAGTTTTCTGGCTAAGAATATTACTTTATGAGGCATGCAAATCCATTTCCTCCTTGTTTCTATAGCAGATGGTATTCTTTATAGGGTGATCTTTCATGAAGTAACAGATTTTATTTCTTTCTAAGAATTGTTGGCTGAGCAGCACTGACCACAACAAGCAACCTGAGGGGTGGATTCCGAGTGACCACTGTGGGTCTCTCACTAGTTTGCAAGTCATGCCTGAGCAGATTTGTCGAGGTATGTCGTGAAAATTATTCTTGACCAATATTATATCTATGAATGCCAAGGATCTCCTAGTAATTATTCAGTAAGGGAAATCAGACTGGGGTAAATAGCATAGGAAGATAACAAGCTTATGTTTGCATCCAAGACAGTATTACTAATTCATTAGGTTAGAAGGAATGTACAAGGAACAGCTTTGACAGATTCTCCCCCCTTGATGGCTTGGCTCACCTACAGTTCCTCATCTCTACCTGTCAATGGTATGAGCCTGGAAGATCTCTGGCTCCAGTGTGGCTCAGTCACACTCAGTAGGGCCTGATCTCTCTCAACCCCATGAAACTAATGCAAGTAGAAAGAAATGGGCTGAAGGCTCTGGCCTTACTTACCTCCGCACTCTGATAGGAGGTGAACAGTATATAAAGTTATCACAATAATCTTAATATTTTCCTAAAAGTTTATGATGTACTGAGGGTATTATTGGATGGAAATCAGGTATTTCAGAACAGAGCACCCCACACAGACTTTGAGGAACACAGCAGCCCAGCTTCTAGGCAGGGATGACATTTTACCTGCATGTACCATCTCAGACACAGCAGTTGCCCCTGGCTGGTGTCTATTTTGATTGGTTGGTGCCTGGGCCCCAATTGGTATTCAACACTTTGAGTATCACCAGTTTCAAGACTACATTAGCACTTGAGGCTAAGTACAATATATACTAAATCTGAGCTTTGAGGTAACAGCGTGGCTGCTCTCCCTGTTCTTTCCCATCCTCTGCAAAGGCAGAAACAAGAAGAGGGTGCTCAGAACTTGCCTTGAGGAGTGGCTTCCATGGAAACCCCTCCTCAGAGCAGTAGCAGGAAATATTATCTCTCATTTTGCAAAACCACACCAAAAGCATTAACAGGGCTTAGAAGAGACAATTGGATATATAGGCATAACACCCAGATATAGGCAGAGTAAGTGAATAATTGCAGTCAATTCCTTGTTCCTTCCTAATGAATCTTCCTTACCTCCTTGCCCCTTTCTGTTCTGCTGACATGGTCATAATCACATATGGCAAGTGCGACCAAGTAGGTTGGCATGTGGGGTGTGGTGTAAAAAGTGGTAACAGTCCATTTGCTTCCATTCACATCTTCTTTTTCAGACTGACCTAGAGAAATGTGTTTTAGTCCAAATCACTGTAAACATAGGCAATAAAATTTAACTCTAAAATAATTTGTCAAGTCAGTTTCCAGCCACTTACCAACAACTCCCCATGTTCTAGCATTTAGATTTCTCTACTATCCCTACACCATCAAAACTGCATTAAATTATTGTAAACTACAATCACCCCAGACTCCAAACACAAGGTAATGACAAGGAGATAGAGAAGCTAATTACCCTGATGTAATCAGTACACATTGCATACCTATAGTAAATCATCACGCTGTACCCGCAAATATGTACAATTAATTAACAATAATTAATTTTTCAAATAAATTAATTAAAAGTATATTAAGAGGAGACCTAAGGACAAAGTCTTGGGCCTAAGTCAGCAATTTGAGTTATATGGGGTTGTCTAAGGGTCAAGTTTATGAGGCCTGTAAATCTGATCCCCAATCTGCCTTTTCTCTCTTCTACCCACTTCTCTTTCCTACTCTGGCCCACTTCCCCCAGTGCTTAATCTAGAGCTGCCTGGATACAATTCTACCATTCTCAGGTTTCAGCAAGGTAACCAGCAGAGGCAATCTAGAGCTTATGGCTGAAATTGCAAACCCAAATGTTCATGAGAGCTAGGCATTTGATGTGACAGGGGCTGGTGTACGCCAACCTTGAGTGCTGGAGACAATGACAGGTTAAGGGATGGAGGCCAGCCTGCAGAAGGGAGACATTTCTCAGCTGCAACTGATGGCTATCAGTAAAAGTTGCAGGTCCAGTGTTGTTAGAGGTGATGAATTCTTGAAGCAATAAAAATCTATATTTTTACATGAAATGTCTGAACCTTTAAAAATTGGAACTAATTTAATCAAAAGAAAAATCACATGAGACAAATAAAATACACCTGTGTATCAGATTCAGACCAAGTCCACTAGCTGGTTATCACTCATGATCAATAGCTGAAACTCAAACTATCGGGTAGGTAGGCTGCCAATGTATAAGAACAGTTAACAGCCCTGGATTCTAAAGCAAAAAGAATCAGGATTTATCATCTCCAAAATGTGGGGGCTGATACATACCTACGTGATGGCTCTCCCCAGTTCGAACAGGCCACAACTACTAGCACACTGCATAGAAAAACGATCATCATAAAAGCTATTGCAAGGTTTATGTTTCTGTAATGACAGGAAGTATTACTTACCTCGCTGTGGCATGTTGGAAAGGGCCACATATCTTGGATGATGAATAATTGTAATATTAAAAGTTGCCTTCAAAGCTGGCTCATCAAAACAAGGAAAAACACTCCTGGCAAATGTTGGTTCCATCTGAGATGCTAAGAGGGCCCTGAAATACATTTTGGAGAAAAATTCATTTATTTTTGTCTAAATTGATGGAAGGGGGGAAAAAAAAGAGCGAGAGATTGTGGCTTATAATTAAGTCTGGTGTGTGGGAAGGAGCCGGGTACTTTTTCTGCGTCTTCCTCACTGCGCTCCCATAACACTCTCTCCAGTTCTCACTGCACCTTAGAATTCCTGTAAGACCTAAAATAAAAAAAGAACTCTCTAATTTTCAACCACAAAATAATATTTTCCTCATTGCATCATAAACCTTTAAAACACTTTATAAACAAAATAGAAACAAACATAGCAAATACACATGCCTGTATTTTGAGGAACTGGCCTTCTTAAAACGAGGATTACTTCTTTGAGGATAGTATATTGCTTTCAGCCTTCATCAAGTCAGTTTGAAAAATGTCTATATTTCTTTTCTTTTTACCAAACGTTCCCTTTTCTTCCTGGTTGAAAACTTATGAAAGGTTTTGTTTTGGACACCCTTGGGGGTAAACATTATGGGTTCATGCCAACTGAACAAAACAACTTTTAGTTATATGTGGCTACCCACATATATTCGCCAAATCTCTACTGCTGCTTATTCTTCTTCCATGGAAAAACACAAAACTCACATTATCTCACAGAGCACTGATAATTTATAAGGAAAATCTTGGGAACAAGGTTCCCTAAACAAACAAGATGATGTCAGGATCACAACACTGCCTGAGTTAGACAAGAACAGGGATCTTAGCAAATAACCTGAAATCCTATTATCCCACTTGCCGCTTGGTGACCTGGGACCCTGTCTTTAGATGACTGCTGTGAATGTTAAAATCTTTTGTCAATTAGGATCCTAAGACTTATTATCTCTGATCCCTTTATTCTTGCTTCAGGCCCAATTCTTGGAAAAGGTGAATTCAACAAACATATCTTGAAAGGGTGTGTCCATTCCTTACCCTGGGGAACCCTTCTTTTCCCCACAATAAGGCTTCTCTTCTAACAAAAAAATTCACACAGCTTTAGGAAGGACACATGGGGCACCGGGACACATTTGGAAACCTCTTATAGTCAGATAATTTGGTGTGTCTATAACTTCACTGGGACAAAACTATAATTTGTAACTAGCATTTTTTGCTATTTGCTTTTTCCTATTTTATTATACTCTATTGCATGGACTGGCAGGAAGCCTGTGAGCTCTAACACCACCCAATATAACTATAAGACCCTGATCCCTCTCCTACTAACTGGGAAATCCTGAACAAGTCACATAAGGTTGCTGAGTCTCAGTTTGTCCATGTAAAAAAACATAATGATACTATTTTATTGCTGTTTGAGCTTTTATAATGTTAAGGACTAAATTTACCAAAATATCACATTTGAATTATCCTATAGTTCTTTTAATCTAAGAAATCATTCTTGATTCAGATGAATCAGAGAAGAAATCAAAGAGCAGTATTTACAAGGTAGGGGTGGAGGGTTGGGAATCACTAATTACAAATGCATTAGCCCCTAAATCCCAAGTTTTAATTTCTGTGACTACTTCAAAGAAATTGCACAGGTGTATTAAAATATATTGGAAATTCTAAATTAGAGCTTATATATATTATTACATTAACTGACATTAACATAGTTAACATTATTATATGTAATTATATTATTATTAATACTATGATATAACTATATGCATATTATATATTATATTTAAGTTTTAATAGGTGTTCCATGTCTGGAATGATGGGACAAAATGGTTTAAAGAGGTTGTAGGGTTAGAGCTGACCACAAGCTGAATAATAATTGTTTTTTTCTCTGATAAAAATTACTAGAAGTTAGGGATTATGCATTTTTTTGTATCATTTACAATACTTTACAAAAGCTGTTTCATAGCAATTGAATAAGCATTTTCTCAGTCTTGGAGCTATTATAAAACACAAACAGCTTAATATTAGCATATATAATATTGAAGTAATTTTGTAGAGTTTTTTAATATATATTTTTAGTTGTTGATGGATGTTATTATATTCACTTATTTATAAGCGGTGCTGAGAATTGAACTGAGTGCCCCACACATGCCAGGCAAGCACTTTTACTACTGAGCCACAATCCCAGCCCTGTAGTGTTTTTTATACTGGCATTTGTTTATAGTTTTAGCTGCTGTTTTTAGGAGACATGGGATAATGTAGAGAATATTCATTCACCTGACAGCTTAGTGGGAAAAAATATCAAAAGAGAATTCATCCTTATGAGTTTTTGCTTGGTATCTTCAGTATAGACAAATTTGTGTAACTTTGAGAAATTGCTTAAAATATCTAGAAATCCATTTCTTTAAAAGGCAGGTATGGGACTAGATGATCTTGAAGGTCAATTAGAATGCTAAAACTGTGATTCAAAGATGGATAAAGAGCCCATGAGGTGACCATGACTGAGTCATCTGAAGTTGGGGAACCCTCCCCTTGGGGGTTCATGCATGACTTTGAGGAAGTCAATAGCACTATGAAATTACAGAGCACTTGTTCAGATGGTGACATATTAACATAAAAATTGTGGTGCAGAGTGAAAAAGCACACCCAATTATATAAAACATGTTTATACATATGGAAAACCAAAAGATGACTATTGTTTTTATAATAGAAACCAAAAAATAAAGCTTGATGATAACCTCTCCACTGCTGTGACATCACAAAACTTAGGAATCTCAGAGAAGTTACAAGAAGAGTAGGGAGAAAACAAGACTCTTCAAGGAAGTGGCAAACTTTTATGCTACAGGCTCAAATAGGACACCAGCTTGGAGAGTAACCATTTGAACAAATCAAACATCAAGCAAATGCCTTCCAATTCCATGATTCAGGTCTCCAGAGAGGTGAAATAGAAGAAACTCACTTGACTCTTATTCAACTAGTTCCCTCTTAGATTTATACAAACTGTCCTTTTGGTTTTCAATCTTAACTACAAAGGTCAGGAACAATCAGCAGCATATAGGATCTCACTAAGTCACATCTGGTGTCCTAAGGGTGCTGTCTTCCCTCACCCCTCTGCTATGGAGTCAAGTAACCCCATAAGGCTATTCAGACCTCAAAAAAATAGAACCATCCACCACTGTCTTCTCCCTTCAAATTTTACTGAAACATGTTATTATGGTGCACATTAAGTCTATGTTTAGAGTGGTCAACTGGTGAGGGAATTAATGTGGAAATATTTGCAGTGCCACTTTCCTGCCCTCTTGTCTTGCCAAAGAAATGGACTTGCCACTCTCTGGTGCTGGAAGAGATCTCAGTGGTCAAGAACCACATGATGCCCTTGGGGAATAAATCTACTACCTTATTAAAAAATACCTACTATATACACACAGTAAGGTATTTCATTCCAAATTATTGAACTCTGTATGCCTGCAGCTCTAGTTAATAAGTGCTAAACAGCAGAGCTGGTCAAAGATTAAGTAAAACTCTTTAAGAGTCATTTCCCCCACCCCTACTTAATTTTTTTTTACACAATACACACTTAGAAATCAAAATGTTTAGTAGAGCCAGATGTTACACCACTGGACTGTGGTTCAAGGATTGGCCCATAAATCATGTTTGTTTATTACTTGTGTAATAGGATCTGAAAACTGAAGTTTCCACCAGGCAACAAAATATAATAGATTCAACATTCCAAAGAAAGGTGCCAAACCATGCTTTGAAGATCTTCAAAGTAAATAATCTTTACTGGGGGTCCTTTTGGGATTCTCAGCTAGATATAAAAGACACAGAAGGGTAAGAAATGATTACAAAAGAGACCAGGGAAGAGATCTTTTGGCTAGCAGTGGGTATTTTGCCAAGCTTTCCATGAAGTCAGGGAGATAGGAAAAGGTCAATCCTCTAACCCTAGTCTAGTGGGAGAAGACCCTCAGAGAACAGTAAAAGTGTTTCTTAAGGATAAAAGACTTAAAGACTGGTGTCCAACTCACTATGGGAAAGCTGAAATTGACACTGTGGCCAGAATCTAACAATTCCTACCAGGCAAAATGCAAAAGGCAAGAGAACTGACTGCTTCAGAAGCAAAAATTTGGGACACTTACAGTCCCAGGCAAGGGTTGTATGAGTGTTCCTTGAGAGCTGTGGGGTCTGAGACAAAGTAAGCCAGGATGAGGATTGTCTTGTCCTGTCCAGTAGAGCCACCTGCAAGAAGCTGAAGGACAGTGGAGATTCATTACTTGATGTTCAAGGACCGAGAGTCACAGTGACCATCAGGACACAGAAATAAGTATCCTGCTGGATTAGGGGAATGACAGGAGAAAGTGAAACAGCAGGAAAACCATGAAGAGTCTAACAAAATGATATCTTAAAGGATAAAGACATTTGTTAGGCCAGAAGAAGTACTTGCCCTATGTTTCACCCAGTTCTGTGGCCCCTGCCCTCTGCACCCTTGTGAGATTTAAGTGGCAGCTATCAAAACAGCAGGGAGGACTAGAAACAGGAGGTGGAGAAATGGAGATCAACTACTCCTCACCTTCATAAATCTTCATAAAAGATTTGAATCATTGGTCACTGAATTTTCTTGTTTTTCCTACTGCTTACATTTGTGGCTTCCATTCAGAGCCAACTGTGAAGTAGGGAGTGAGGATGCAGTGGGGTGAGAAGGAGAGATAACAGTAAATAAAATTCAAAGTTTTGAGTATTACACAAGACTTGATTTTCTCCTTTTGGCCTCTGAATGTATTTGTGATGTAGTGACAATAGATCATTTGTCACCTAAGAATGAGCAGGAAATTATAGGTTACTGGAGTTATAGGAGTAGGAAAGATGATACCATAGACTAAACTGTAAAAGGACAGTGGGAAAAACAAACTTGTATTTTTATAGCATTATGAGGTATGCCATTTCAGTATGTTTGCAAAAGATGCAGGATTTAAATATTTGGTTATCAAAATCATTTCCCAGAGAAAACTGCTTAGTCAATGAAATCCATGGGTTCAATGCTTACATAGGTAATGAAATGACCTCTTCCCTCTATGACATCATCAACTTGATGTGCCTG